ACCCAACCATAATCCATCCCCAAATTATGCATTTAAAAAAATGCCGCTACGACTCCAATGATATGTTTTCAACCTTCCAAGATTTTCCAAGGATTTTTCTTCGGATAAAAAGCGATCCAAAATATAATCCGCCGACTTGGAAGCGAAGTGTCACCATACAGAGAATTGAAGAAAATGTGGGAAACGCTCGCTAAAAAAAACAAGAACTTTCTTTTTCGAGTTTCAGGGATTTTTGTGAACAGCAGCCAAATTGAAAGAACAAGAAACTTTGGTAAACATTTTGTTTCCGCGCACGAATCAAGAAAATTCGTCCAGGAATGTCCGGGTAAAGGGACTCCCATCGGATGCCCGGTCACCGCAGCGTGAAATTAGTCGACCTGAACCAGGCGCCCCTCCATCGCCTTGCCACATGCCCGGACATTTAGGAAAGAAAGCGGACCCTGATGCTCGTAAAACCGGAAGAACAGGAACTTCGGATTCGGAAACGTCTTTTGTCGCCTTCCTGCTAGTCTCAGGGAGAACGACCATTTCCAAGAGGGTCTTGCTTTTATTTTGCCTCATCATCACGATGGACTCGAGAAGCATCATTTCATGCGCCTGAACTTCGCGTTTTAGAGGCATGCATCAGAGGGGGACGGAACTACAGGATTTTCAAGAAAATACTTGCACAGATTGGCAAAAAGAGGAAGATGCGAGTTATGCACAAGTACACTAAAACTATTTTGGTGCCGAATAAGGGGTATTTTTTCTCAAGATTCTTTGCAAAAATTCTGGTAGCGCCAAGGTTGCATGATACATGGCTGACATACCGTTTATTGCAGGTTCTCACTTGAGAAAATTCTCCAATAACAGAAAATGTTCCATTGTAAAATTTTATCCGGGGAAAACAGTAACTCAAGTAATAAAACATATTTCCATGTAACATAGTTTTCGGCCAACAAGTGGCTGAATTTTACCAAGTAAAGGAAATTGATTTGTCCATTCATTCAAAAAATAAATTGAGGGATATATACTTGTAGTTGACCACCCAATAGTTCTTAAAAATTTTGAATCAATCAGAAATGCAAGAGTTCGAGATTGTCAGTTTTACCTAAGTTTTACACAAATAAACTTTAAATTCAAAATCATGTGCTAATAGCTTAATATACAGTTTTTCAAGGTTGTTTTATACAGTATGTTACTTTTGCGAGGGTCTGAAATTATTAATTTTTTCTCAAATATAACTTGCAGGAAATATATCCTCATACAATGAAAATTTTACAAAACAAAATACTTTCCAGAAACCGATCAGTTGTATTGTAATACAATGCAGTTCCAAATACAGTGGGCTATTTCATAAACCCCGAAATAAACGTCAATACTAACCATACTGGTACAATCTAAAATCAATTCATCAGTTTCACACTCATTTTGGGCAACAGAATTTTCTTTATTTAAATTTGTATGGTCCCTCCCTTGAATTTCACACAGTTAATTTTTTGTAGAGAACCTCTATAGTCTATAACATGGGGCAAGAACCCTATACGGGACTCCAAAAAAGTGCTGCAGTATATAAAGAAAATCGTTGTTGACAAAACCTTCTTTTCACACAAGTTACCTAATTATAAATTTACCTCTCCTCCGAAATATTAATGATTTTGCGCTTTTAGAAACTTCCAAATTTCCCACTCCGTTTTATTCTATTAATTCACACAGTGTCTAAACTTTTTAAATTTCAAAGTTGTAAAAAACATGTGATCTCCCAGTTTTCTGCGACAAAGTAAAAGGCAGGTGAAACAATATAGGTATGTCTTCAGTTATTTCGTAGGAAAATGCTGAGTCGGGATAGCCCATTGACCAGTCTTGGCCAGGAAGGAATTTCTCTCGTGCTTCGCTTATTTTCCGGTTCATTGATCACACTTACTCAGAGCAAGCATCATTAACCACTATTTCCATGGGGCATTATCATTTAATTAACGTTTTTCAGAAATTCCGCAGCGGACGTGCCATTCATATTCGTCTTGTTAAAATACAGAAATGCTCAATGGATTCTCGGATCGACGTCGGCACTTTTCAAATGATGATACTGTACTTACCCGCAAGCATCAATATCATTATAATATAATTGTCATATTCGTAGATCTATAAAGATATACATTTCATATTATATTTTGGTCTACCATTCATTCAAAGATAATATTTTGAGAACTGCACTTGACTTGAGACATGCAGACATTTAAAAATCATTTATTATTTCTAAAAAGAATTTTTGCGATGAGATCATACTTGACCGAACAAATTTAGATGAATAGATAACTTTATTTCGAGAAAATATTAAACACCATTCTTCCTTTAACTAATTTTCCCAAATCGGATTACTGTACCATTATTTTTTTGTAAAAAAATGACGCATTTTCATTGAATAAGTCTGAATAGAAGTTTCAGAAAACAATATAGGTACCGTATATAGGCTGCAATAATTGCTGATTACTTCTCTCTGATATGTGGGGCTATTAACAGCATGAGATACGTATAAATGGAAGAATACATGTCTAATCTTGGAAAAAACTTGGTAGCATAAATTTGCGGACATTTTTCTTCAAGTGACGAAAAATATTGTAACATTTTTAGCTCATTTCCATTGGCATTTTATGATCAGAAAAATAAAGAAACCTTTGCGAATATTTTTATCAATACTGCATGGGAGAACTCGAAGGTTTGAGTTTCTCAGTGATCAGGGAAAAGCATTACCAAGGAAAATGAGCTACCGAGATTTTTTTTTAATGCGTGCGTTTCTGATTTTCTGCTTTTCTTTTTTTGGATTTCTGCTCTAGCAACGACTGTCAAGAGCAGAAAGTCATGCGCTGTAAATCATACGGCGGGTATCCATAAAAAGCTGATCGCAGTAACACAACCTGGAACAATTCTTCCGATCAAAAATAACTTGAGAACTGGGACAGAATCCAGTTCATTTCCGTTGTCAGAAAATAAAGTTCAAGTAGAGAACATAAACAATATTTCAAAATTTGTTTTTACAAATTTTGAAGCAGATCTCGAGCGCTGAAAGTGCAAGAATTAAGAAATTGTCGGAAAAATACTTTTCATGCAGCGAAGTCTCCTCGTGTCGTAACGAATAGTACGATTTTCATAATAAATATACTGCAGCACTAAAACTTCTCACTTCACGCTTTCAACGGAAAGCACTGAAAACAGCGGATTTTGATACACTGTAAATATATCGAAGTTATTGACACAGCATTGGAAGAGGGGAATTTATTGCGACAAGAAATAACTATAGATGGCTGAAGCCAGAAAATATACAGGATGACTCTCTTTTTTTTCTCTCTCTCTAACGCGATTCAAGGGACCAGAGAAAAATAATTCGTTGTAGAAAATCCGTATAACCAAGGGAAAGAACCCCGTATGAGACCAAAGCAAAATTTTTAATACTGTCCACAGAAAATCGTCGTAGACAAGATATTGCTGTACAGAGAGAGTCCACCTGTATCAGTTAAACCGCGGATGAATGAAATACAGCATATAGGCGAGGATGATGTCGGACGGATCTCCCACACAAAGACAAACCCGACCGACCTTTCAACAAGTTCCCGGAGCGCGTTTCCTGCCCCACAACCGGGCCAAAATGAGGGAGAATTTTAATGAAACCGCGCCAGGACTCCTCCATTGGCCGCGTGACCTCATCGCTTGGCTGCGCACGGCCCCGGGGCTTGTTCCCCGCACCATCAAGCCAAGTATGATTTTTTTTATATCTCTTACTTTATACACAGCATGCAGAGCCACACACATAGGAAATAAAATTTATTGTGAACACCCTCTATAAAGCTGTCTGCCATGTTCACCACAAAAGTAGAAGTGTTATTGGACTCCATCAAAGCACATATACTTACCAAATTTAGACTCGAGTAATGTACATGTGACCTTGGTTGATATGCAAGCTTTATTTTCCACTTGCCAGCAATCACAAATCCCATGTATTCATTAATTTCATCAAAACACATCCTTTTTTGTGGAAAATTGGATTTTGAATAATTGTGCGGGATATATGTCTCCTTGCAATTGACTGTGTCTTGTATATTTGCTGTTGTAGTACAGTAGAATATTGTTACAAAGAATCTCATTTTAACAAATAATCGTTTACACGGAATTTGTTTTTTAGGTCCCAGTCCAATAGCCACAACGTTAAATGGGTCGACGCTTTATAACGAATTTTGTTTCAACGAAGCTATTTCACTGCTCCCTTTGGGGTGAGGAGTTTTTACTGTATTACAAAACATTGAAATGCAAAGCACCGGCTTGCTTGTGATCAGCATAATCTAGAATCTGAAAATTGCATGTTCAATGAGACACATCCTAACAAATAAATGACTGCTGCTGGCATCTTATATTTTAGTAGTTGGTCGCATGAAACTGCGTTTCCTGCTTATTCTCGTAAAATCAAGACCCGTCCCTCCTAAATTTTTCACGAGGAAAACAGCGGTGCGTCTTACTTGAAAAATATGTACTGTAGGTACTATCCTGTATGTCATAAAAAATACTGTACTGTACCTTATCGTCCTGTGAACAAAACAACTTCATAGAAAAAAAAATCAAGATGATGTACCTTTATTTTTCTGAAAGCATACGCGGACTACGCACACTTTTCAAATGGTGCATGAAAATTATGGTAGGCCGTATTTTTTACACAGAACCATTTTTTGGAACCTACGGGGTGGTGGAATAATACAACAGTTGAGAGGTTGAAAAATTCTCTCGATGTAATTTAGGACCCACAATTTTTAGATTTATGGTCACAAAAACCTTGAAATCCAAGAGCATTACTTTCCACGTGAAGTGCTGCGTTTTTCAAAAAATATTTTCGAGCCGACCCTGGAAGTAATACACCCCCAACCATTTTATAATTCGTGGTTAGTCAATTCTATAATGCTTAAAAAATCACCACCTTCGCCGACCAAGTCGAATGAATATCGAAAATCCCCTTAAATTTAAAATTGCTAAAAGATTGCACAACACGTATTTGGGAAAACAGAATATCATTCGACGAGGATATGCATTTATCAAGAATTTTATGGACACAGAGGCAAAAACACGACATCATTCGAAGCGTTTGCATTGTGATCAGGCAATGAAGAAAAGCGCTAGATAAACGCTCGCTATTTTGAATCATTACGCACTTCTTTCACGGAGTCCGTGTATTAATGACGAAGAACATACGTTGAAGTTGCGGTCAAGCGGTTCTTCCGGAGGGTGCACATTTTCCGAGTCTTCAAATAAAAAAAAATATGGAAGTTCGAAGCCTAAACACACGTTTTTCTCGAAAATACTTCCCATTTACAAAAGAATAATTTTCGGATTAAGACTGTGGAAACCACAGAAAACAACAGAAGTGGAAAGGGTTTTGATAGAAAACTCTGACACACAACCGATGAGATTGTGATCATACCCTAGTTCATCAGCTAATTCCGGTTCATTTTTCGTGTCGATCCGAAATTACTATTAGCACCAGGCGAATAATCGAACGGCACCTTCAAGAACGAACAGAAGCTATTTCGCAGATACGGTACATACAGTACTGTACTGTAATTTTCTTATTTCACCTCAGGGGCATTCGGCGAACTTTTTAAATGAGACTGGAACGTCACATACCCTTGAATAAAATACAAGAAACGAATGCAACACGTCATCCTTCACTTGTTCTTCAGCCACTCTACGAATATTCTCAGGACTTCGGTCGGTATTCATTATAATCGTATTCGCGAAAAGGAATATCAAACGATATCAGGCCCATGTTTCTCGCCTGCATCAATGCCACCATGAGGTTTTTTTGCTGAAGTTGACACACGCTTGTTTTCCTGAAATCAGAATGAAACCATAGCCATCATAACTGCAATGCCGACAAAATCTATTCGACAAACGTACTTGGTGTCCAACAGCTCCCCAGTGTGTTCACAAACAAATTGCTTGAGCAAGTCCATGTTCAGGGGATGTACGACGAGATACTCATCCCGGCAAATTGGACACGGATTGCCGGTGCTCATCCTATTTTGACGCTGAAATATCCCATTCGCATTGAAAAAAGAAAACGATGGGATTTCAAAAATCAAAACACAACGTCAAACTCGAACTTCGGAAACCTTGTCGAAATCGGAAGTTTGCACGAAGACTCTGAGAAGCACGAGTTGCGGACGATTAACATAGTTGAGTAAGAAAAATTTCAAAGCATTGAATTCTCAAATAGCAATAAGGCAAAAATAATTACGATGCATGTCTTCCTCGTCTTCAGAGGAGGATATTGACCTTTGAAGTTCCTTCGGTAAAGTTCCCACACAGCTTTTTCGCCGTATGCTTTTTGATAGGCTGTAGGAAAACAGAAAGCATAAATTAGGGTCCTTTACATTCAAAGCTCAGTACTTCTTTAAAACTGCTAATAAATATCATAAGCTGCTCCAGCTGCTTTATTCGCAACCTGCCCTAAACTAAACATTAAAAAAAATCATGGATAAGGGTGAAAAATCGTGCACAAGAATGCAGATACTTTTACGAGGACAATTTCAACAAGGAACTCACTTCTGAAATTTTAAAAATTTTACTAACCCTCACTCTTCATGTAACGCATGCTCATTTCTAAAGGAATCTTCCTGGACCGATCCTTCGGATCTGCGGCAACTGGTAGCTCAGCTTCCAGTTGAGGATCCCCATTTTCAGAAGATTCGTCTTCAACAGGTTCGTTTACCTTCGGCACTTCAGTGGAAAAGGCCGCCGAAGAAAAACAGCGTGACGCACGCAAAGCCCTGGAAAAACTGATGCCCGGTGTTGCTTGCTAAAAAAAAAATTACCGTCAACATTTTTCAATTCGAAGACCGGACCAAATACTCACCGCACTCTTGAAGGTCGTCAATTTTGAAACCGCGCGCACAAAGCGAACTCCACGAAACACTGACATTTCTGAGAAAAAAAGTTTCAAAAATAATTTCCAATTCATGCGTTCCAACGACAGAACAGTCAACATGCACGGAAGTTGCGAAAGTCCGCCTTTTGTCGTTGATCTTGCATCGGTTTCTCAAGTGGATGTTATTTCGGCCATTCCGATCAAAGGTCGACAAACTAAGAGAGAAAAAAAATGAATGAGCGGAAGCAGTCGATAAATCCAATAACTTAACATGAGGAAGAGTCTTTTGACGTGTGCACATCTTTAAAAAAAATGCGCCAATTTTTTGCAATACCGTACGCATTTATGATCTCGGGCCAAAAACCGTTACCGAAGAAAGAAAAATTATTATGTACACATGAGGTAGAGATCAAAAGATTACGAAGTCTTGATTGACCAACGAGAGTAGTTCTAAAAGTTTGCGAGTCAACAATTTCAAAAAATGAAAGTTACATAGAGAAAAAAGGTTCACAGATGTTTTCATAGCTCTCTATCTGCCCTTCTGCTACAGCGCTCACCAAGGCCAATCCAACAATTATGAATAAAAAACATTTTTAAGAGAACCAGAATACATCAGACCAACAGCTCAAAATATATTAGAAAGAATCTCAGGAAAACGAACGATTGAAAACTGCATTATTGCACGCGTAAATTGGGATTTTTCCAAACGAAAAAACGTATTGAAAACATAAAACGCGCCAAATTAATTTTTTTGGATGCTCTTCTTCTCACACAAATAAAATACTTTTTACAGGATATTTCGGCGAGTTAAACTTTTTCAGAAATCGACGATATCTGCTTTACCTGGTGAAACACTCACCGGATCCTGGCATTCTCAAGGAAGGCCGAAAACTTTGAATTAAATGCGTGGAAGAAGTCAATACCAGCGCCCTGGATTTCTGAAACGACTGCAAGCAGCTATCAAGCTTCCTTCGAGCAAAATAATTGCGATTTTCCAACTCGACGCAGTGCTCCACTTACATGCTTTTAATGAACGTTTTCTTAAAGCGATGAGAGATTATCGCGATAATACAGGTTTCAACACCTACACTTCATAGCTTTGAATATAGGAAGTGATTCTCCCGGATCGCTTTCAATTCCAGAACTAATTATTCGTTCGAACACGCACTCAAGAGGTTCAAGAACGCGGTTACTGAGCACACTGAAATATGGGACCACAAGGTAGCTCAAAGCGGTACGCGCAAGAACTCGGTATAACCTCGGTAAACCAAGGCAGTCGAAATCCCTGAATAGTAGCGGTTCCATTTCATCACCATCACACAATCTTGGAACCAGCAGTGTAATGAAGTGCGGAATAATCAAAACATGAAAGCAGCAGAACCACAGTCGTTAATTGAATTTATTGAGAAGCTCAAAAAAACATCCTACTCGCCGATCAACAAAAGCAAATCCTCCATACCAACAGACTTCGGAGAATTAAAAAAAAACACGTTTCCCGGATTGCACATTTGAAACGAAAATACAATCGGGCTGCGGAAGTTCACCGACCAAACAACGTGAATGACTTCCTCGACTTCGGCATTCGACCGTCTCTATCGAGAAGGCCCGCTTCGATTTCTTCCATCACTGGAAGGTTTTTCAAATTTCCTAAGGCGGCAACACTAGGTCTGCTCCGGAGCATGCGATGCGCTGCACGGCGGATGTCTTCCTCATTTATACGCGCTGGAGAAGAAAAAATCAAAGCAATACGATCCTGAACATGAGAAAAATGAAACATCCCCATTGACCTTTGCTGAAAGCGAAACAATCCCTCAACTTTTATTTCGACATTTAACAGGTCTCCAGCTAAGATCATGCACAAAATTTAAATTGTAATGACGCGCAGAACTAAAAAAATGTATTAAGGCGATCAACAGGACTTTTACATTTGAAAAGTCCTCCTAAAACCCCCAGTGGAATTTATATAAAATCATAACGCGCGCCAACTTTAATCTTTCAGAATTTCAGGGGGGGAAAAGTAATTAGACGGGTAAACAATACTATATTCGGACCATTTCCTTCAAAAAAGCCGAGCATTAAAACTGAAAAACTCACAGATTTCATCGATGTAATGCTCTGGTGGTTTACGTTGACCAGTTGCCAACACTTGCCGCCCTATGTCTTCAAATATCACCGGCCGACTCTCGAGGTTCATCAGCAACATTGACTGTAATTGCGCCTTCGCACGCTGAAAGAAAAAAAAAAAAATCGGGATGCTTTTCGATTCCTGCATAATTTAAGAGCCAGGAAGAATAGGGAAAAAAACGCGACACGTCCACTCATAAAAATCCCAATGACATTGACAAATTTACGTTCACGGTTGAACAATCGAAATCATGAAATCGTACATTTACCCGTATTTACTCGAGTACCACGGGCACCCTATACTGTAAAAGGAAAAAAAAAAAAAAACGGGGGCAAAAAATGAGACGTTTGGTTACAAATTTTCCCCATTTCTCTTTTGCAACTTTGAGCTCTTTTCCCACTTCAATTTTTTTCGAATTTCTTTGACAATGTTTCTTTTCGCATAAGAAAAAACATCACCATTGCAGACAATAAGTGATTTTCACCCCATGCCGTTTATAGGATACAGTACAATATCAATTCTGAAAACTGAAAAGTAATGAGCACGTTTTACTCGAAGGCGCGTGGTACTCGAGTATATACAGTAGTTGGTTCATTCTTCGTAAATCAGAGGCAATTAAAAATAAATCATGAACTGAAGGTGCCTACTTCCAATTCTTCCTTGTCCACGTGTCCACCCATCATGACGAACTCTTTCACAACGACCTCGACCATTTCGCGAAGTTGAGATGGATGAGCAGCGGCGTGGATGCAGAAAAGCCCAGAGTCAGCGTAAGCGTGATTGTAGGCAGTGGCACTCCACATCCAATGTTGCCTGTTCAACACATTCGTGTATAGGCGTGTGTACATTCCTTTGCCCGGACCACCGGCGGAAAAGGATCCACCGCCGCCCATCATCGCGTTGAGTACACACGATGGAATGAAATCTTTCTGATCTTGATGCGAACAGCTTTCCAAACCAAGCACCTGATTTGCGGAAACAAGGGTTAAATCATTATTGCCCAACCCAAATGTGGTCATGGAGCACAATAATATTTTATAAGAAAATTGACACATAGCAAAGGTGAAGAGTTCTTTAGGCCACAATAAAAAATGATTTTTCAGGTTCCATATTTCCCCATTAAAAAAGTTTCATTTTTAATTCAGCGCCGTGCTGAATCACAAGCATATATTTACAGAATTTTTGAAGAGCGGACCAACAAGATGAATTATCAAATGAATATTTCGGTATGCAGTACATTTTCAATAGTGGCAACTGCTAGCTTAAAAATTATAGATGATACAGTCTCATGCATGACGAGTTTCCGCGGGGCCGGACCTGTCCCGCAGGCTCCATATTGGGCAGAACTAGTTGAATCATTAGCAGTGATTGTTGGAAGCTTCTCGCGTTCGTCAGAAAATTGAGGGGGGGGGGGGTTAATAATACAAGACTAGTCGTATTTTCACGTAAACACGGTAACTTTCATAACTTGTTGTACAGTATACTCACAAAATGAGCAAGTTCGGGAATTCCTTGTCGATTCGGCCCGGGACACAAATTTGACATGTCCCTCTCGGACACCACAAGCCCACCTGTATACTGGGCAACGGAAGAATCGGCGGTTCCGTGAAGCAATGGCATTCTTCCACCCGTCATCCTCCCTTCGATCTCTGAACCAATATCCCAAATCGGTTTCATGTCAACGAAGTATCTGTCACATAGGATTTTTTCACATCAGACAATAATTCGCAGATCGGTTTTACGCATACTGTACTGTAATTACTTTTCTGCAACTTCACAAAGGGCGCTGTGCTCGACGCCAACGCCGGCAATAACCATCCGCTCAGGCGTATGATGGCTCGACAAGAAAGAATACAACAATGCGCGGTCAATTTTCTTCAGATTTTCCAGCGGACACAGTTTAGGAAGTCCCAGGGTGTTATCCTTGTAAGCAGCCTAGAAAAGAATGTTTTTACATGGACAGCAAAATATCCTCTCATTTCAATTTTCAACCTTACCGCATGGATCATTTCCATAAGAGCGACTTCTTGGTCTGGACGTAGCTCGAGATCTTCCCATTCAAACTGAATCGTCTGACGCACAACCTCAAGCTGAAATATGGGTAAATGAAAATAAATCCGCGGGAAATCTGAAGGAATTTAATTCCCTTAAATTCGTACTTCTTCATCCTTAAACCTCGGTCGCAGTGTTACATCACCCAATATTTTGACAACCGGATCAAGGCCATGAATTTCTGCTGATGCAGCACAAATGAATGTGTCCCTGAAAAAGATATCTTCATTTTGAAAAGTATAATTGCATAAACCAACAAATGCGGCTTACCTCGAAGCCTGGCAGTCACAGATACCTCCAAATTTCTCTAGCTCATGGAGTAGCTTGTCCCTATCACTGAATTCTGCTGTAGACTGTTAACAAAGCAAATAATGCATTGAATCGATTATTTCCTGAAATTTAATAATCGGAACATACCTGAAATGCCGCACGTTCTAAAAAATGAGTAATGCCACTCGGATAGGCTACCTCATATCGAGGGCCAGAGTCGACAACAACTAATGAACATTTTCAAAATCAATTCCTGGGAATATGTGCATTGAAATTCTCGAAAGGTACCTCCAACCGTGCAAAATTGCCCGAATTTGTTCTGTGAGGCAACTCGGAGTCCGTTCGACAAAGTTGTAACCTCCGTCTCGTGCGTTAAAGCTGAAGGTTTGGAAAAAATTGCCGTTGGAAGACCGTTCAGTGGCTCAGAAAGAGGAGGCATGGATGACGAACTGGAGGATTTGGCACGTCTAAGCTGCAAAAGCTTCCTTGGAGTTACCGGGTGAGAGGATACCCTGAAAGAATATAGTTTCCATCAATCCGTCCTTGGTACCAAACACAATTTCAAAATTACCGAGCTACTAATGCCGACGCCCGATTTCCGATTATGTTCGCCATCACGAAGATAAATTCAGGGTAGCCTAAAAGAAAACGCACGAAGACCCCTGCTGAAAAATTATCAACACTGACCATGAAGCCGCAAGACTTGATTGAAAATTACCAAAAATCATGATAATCTTAGTTTCCCAAATTTTGCACCCAGACTTATCGTGAGCGTACTTTAATCTATCGTCAGAACCATCATAAATTTATTTCATTCTAACCGGTTCTGAAATTTAAAAAAAGCTCGTCGTCGATCTAACTTGATCGAAAGCCAGTTTGAAAAATCTGGGAGGCTTTGAGAACACGGCTTCATGAGAAGCTCAACCCAAAAATACGGCGGACAATCATGTTTCTTCCAAAGAACAAAACAATTCCAGCTCTATCAGACCGTCTGCCCATCGGCACATGGTAAAATCCTTGACGTGGCAGGATCCTTCCCTAGAACGAAAATTGTCCTCCGGAAGATCACAAGATACTACATCATCACAAAGAAAACTTGGCGATGCCAAATTTTCATCATCACAGGGTTCGGAAGGCGCTATGCTCAAAACTTTCACTGCAGCAATGGTTTCAGCTATAGATTCATCTAGGCTGTCAACCAACTCCAAACGCTTCCGCTTCTGAACTTCCAGCATGACACGCGAAGCTTCTCGGGCCTACAAGTGATTCCACATCAGTAGATGAATTCACGAAGAGCAAAAAAAAAAACCTCTAACCTGCAGAGGCCTGTACTCGTTTATCAAATGATGTAGATGAATGAACAGCAAGGAGATATCTTCCATTTTCTGAATCCGGACATCTTCTTCCGGGCACTTGATCATGATGTCCAAAAGGTCTAGAAAGTTCGTGACTACAGATATGTTGAGCTTCTTCAGCTCAAATCGTTTACTGTAATACACGGGATGTAGTCGTTGCAGACCGTGACTTTCAAGCGGCTGTACGTCCGCAGGATCATTTTCTGTGTCGTACGTTTCCCCGTACATTTCGTAATTACCGGATATCACAGGCGGCGGGTCGGGCGAAATACCGGCTTCCACATTTTCCGGCGTAAAAAACGCTACGAACGCCATGGGTGGAATCGGTAAAGTGGATACCTGCAGCGAAGGCGCCTCGGCAGCCATCGCGGTTTGAACGATTTCTACTGTCCTGTTGAATGAATAGCGTGCACAGCAAAACTGAAACTCGAACTGATCGATTCATCATTCAATACAACGGAGAGCACAATCACTCCGAGAGAGACGCACACACCTTCCGTAGTCTAGGACTCGGGAACAACTTCCGCAACGCGCCGAGAAATGAAACTAAACCTGAACTTCGCTCATCATTACAGATTCTTAAATCACTGACAGATTCGGACAGCCGCGCGTACACACAGTCGGCTATAAATGTCAACTTCTTTTTATTCACGTGAGCAAGCAATACCGGAAAACCAGAATATATCAGCATTCCAGCACCAAGAGTTTAATCACTTTAAACTTTATACACTACTATCATGGCTACAAATGCTTGGAGACTTCAAGGGTTTTCCACAGATGCCTTAGAACTTCTCAACGGCGCGGAATTCATGCGACCCGTGGTTCGAAGAAATTCCGATGTTGTCAACGAGGTGAACAATTTCGGTGAAGGTCGGTTTCACTTGAAATGACCCGAACATCTATGAACCCCGCGTTTGCCACGCGTATAGGTATTCTGAACGTCGCCTGTAATTTGAAACTATGGGACTGCGTAAAATTTCTTGCCGAAAACGGAGCCCCCGTGAATCTTCTTGGAGACTTCGACTACACAGCACTTCATATCGTAATACAATTACATTCCCGTCATTAATGCTTGATGTCGGCAGAAATCTCTCATTTCGAAGCTCAGCGAAGTCGGCAACGCCGAACTGATAGAGGTGCTTGTGACCCGCGGCGCGGACATTGAGGCTAGAGCTCGACGGTGGTTTGAAAGAACGCCACTGCACCTGGCTGCACAAGCGCTAAATTTCGATGCTGTCAAATCATTGCTGAATCTTGGTGCTCGGGTGGATTCTATCGACGAACACGGGTGTACTGCATTGCATCTCGCGACTGCGATGTCATCAGTGTCAAACGGCATGTTCACGCCCAATCACATGATAGTATATTTATTTTAAACGCTGCGCCTGAAAAAGGCTTTTGACCCCAGCATGGGACCCAATGCTTTCCGCCTAACACAGCAGCAGAAAATACCCCTGCCCATCAGGAAAATTCTTTGTGATCAGTTATTCAATGGAATTGAATTGTAGTCTCTTTAGACTTAATTTCCTTACGTAATGCTTTGTTCGAAAAGTGAACTATTTGAGACGGTAATTCACAGCACGTGATCAGTATAGAGACTATATTAGTTATTATTGAACTTTTAAGTCGAATTGCTAGAGACAAAAAAATTGTATCAGGGAGGTTCCTAGTGAGGGAAACTACCATTTTCGCTTTAGAAAAAGTTAGAATTAGCAAAATGATATTTTTTGCCTCGAACTGTTTAGTATGAAGAATATACTAGACAGCATGATGAACTTTGATGTGCAGGGAAAAGGTCATTTGTTCAATTAGTCTCTCACTTCCTTTCAAAAAGCATCAAGTTACCGTTATATTCTTTTCCCTTTCCTGGGTAACAAAAATTTTTAGCCAAAAAGCCTCCAAAAATTTGAGTTATGTAGAGATTATATATATATAACTCAATATATATTCAACCTGTATATAATTATAGATAGCAATGCCTAGAATAGATAAGGGTGGTTTCGAATACATAGTTTCTGTATACGGCAATTCAGACAGGAGATGTGAGTTATTGAGGTTCAGCAGCTGCATTATTCATCATTTAAAGATGAGTAAAAGAACCAAATCACTGCATGCAAAAAGTACCCCCTTGACAACTTTTCCCTCAAGAACACCCAATGCAGAAGCGAAAAAGCCAAAATACATTCGAGTGATAAAAATAATGTACAGAACATAGTTCTCCAAGCGAAAAAGTTAGTATATTATTCACATTCAGTGACTTATTCTTCCTGATCCGTGCATAAAAATTTGGTCATAAAATAATTGCCCATTGGGTGATTTTTTTTCATAAATTTTTTGGCATGTTGGGTACTCATCCTGTGCGCTTTTTTATGGATACATTCATGCCATTTTTCTCCTCAACCATTGAATATTTGGAATGCATTCAGAAAACAGGCATGAAAGCGGCACCCGTCGTATCCATTCTCTTGTCATTCGGCGCTGATACGAAGCTAGAAGCAAATGTTCACTTCACCACCGACGAGCAGGAAATTCCCCTGGAAACTGCACAACGGAGAAATTGCTTGCCAGTTGCAGAAATTCTGGAACTCTGGGACCATCTCAAACACAAGGCGCAAGACGAAACTGCCTCATTGGGCTTCAAACGTTTTCTCAAATCCCAGCAACTTTCCGATGTTACTTTCCTCATTCGTGACGAAGAATCCAGAAAGAAAGTTGAACACAAAATCCCGGCGCATAAAGTGAGTTTTCAATAAGATTTTTTCATTACAGTGAAATTCCGTTACAAAGAATCTCATGCTGGTAACGAAGTATTTCTATTTGGTCCCGCCAGTTTCTTCATGTGGAGGAGGGTGTTAAAATTTCGTTTTAATGACTTAATTTCCCTCTATAATCATAGTAAAATGAATTTTGAACTTTTCGCGATTAAGTGTGGTCGGGCCATATATACATTTTTACCGATTGGTACATTACGGGAAAACCCAACTTGTGCATAATAAAAAGTTTTAAAAAACCTTAGAAAATACAGTATTAAAGTTAAACTTTTGGTACATACAATTTAGCATTACAGATAGCATATTTGAAGCTATATAATCAAAATTTATTCATTTTTTTTTAATTTAGAAAAGGAAAGTATGTATGAAAGGATACTGCTCTTCTTCATGAAAAATACAGTTCTTTGTGAATAAATGCGCTTTTAACGAATGTTTTCTTTGTTCATTGTTCAGCTTATATCTCAACAAGATCAGTGTTTTTTTTTCTGAAAGTATAAGACAGGGAGGTTTAAAATTATATTCAAAATTTTGAATTAAAATTTTTGAATTTTTTCCATTATTTCACTGAAAGAAGGTGGAATTGCAGGATTTTCTTCACAAATATGCTGCTGTAGAAGTATACTTCGACGTATTTATTGCTTGTTTCCCGCAAACATTTCAGACCATTATACTTGCGCAAATAAGCATGAATCTCATTACAGTACAGTACAGCGAATTTTTTCCATCAGGTCCATATGGGAGTTTGTTGTAACGATAGGTTTTATTTGTAAATATTTATTCTTTCTGAAAAAATACGGGATTATTTGGTCTCCATTTATTTAGATCTTACTTGCAAGTGAGAGCCCGGTATTCGAAGCAATGTTCCGACATCCGTTCAAAGAAAAAAAATCGAACACAGTTCGGTACTGCGAGCTTGACCTGAAAACGTTCGAGCAGCTTCTGAATTATGTGTACAAGAAAACTATCGAGGACAGTCCAGACAGGTATATTTCGTCAAATGCATATGAATTGTGGTACGTTTCATATGCGTATATGGCTTAATTTAAAAATTTCACGGCATTTTTTCTGATCAAACTTTATTCATGCATCTATTTTTCGACTGATAGTTTAACTCGGCTTCTCGAGGTTGCCGACAGGCTTCAAATCCCGAAACTCAAATGGGACTGCGAAGTGTTGCTGCTACGTTACCTGGACACTCAAGACGCAGAGGATGCTTACACTATTGGCACGAGACACAATGCGGCTCTCGTGGCTCGTGTCGCCGAAATTCTGCTTTCTCAATCCCCGCCAAATGGCGGAGAAACACCGAAAACTCCGGGATCCTGCGAAATTCTTCGGAGTCAACCAGCGCATGATCCCGTAACACCAAATGTGATGGAAGTCAGCGACGTTCGACGAGAGCCGATTGACGATAACGTTGATGGAAGTGGACCGAATCCTTCTCCGAATAACGATTTTATAGATGATTTCTAACAACTTGACACATCAGCTGATACATACAGTACAAGCATAAATGTTTTCTCCGGAATACGAATTACAGGTCTCGTACAAAATTGCCTCCGACATACCGTGTAATAAGTATAGAGCAGGTCATATTTTCAGGGAACGTATGTTCTTCACAAATACTCGTACAACAGCACTTTTGAATAAGCGGCGCATATTCAGTAAAATATTTTTATAACAATTTAGTATCCTCAGTTTTAAAAGGTAGATTCTAAAACTATTTGTACTTCAGTTGGAAAATTTTGCATACGAGGTACATGGAAAATTAAAATTTGAGTTATACGCATTCAGAAGAGAAGCAAGGGATTATACTGTATAATGACGCATATAGATAAGTATGAGAACACACCCATACAATAGAGAATAACTACAACTGTGATGGGCTTTTTCTCTAGACGGAAATCGGATATGTGAGGTCAGATGTGTGAACTTACGTGTTTTTAATTTGTGTAACATAAGAAACCGTGTCATTTCTATACTTAATAAAATCCATTGAAGTTCGAAAGCCCTGTTCTACGAGTTTAATTTTCAAATGTTACAATTTTTGAAGGGGGAAAATCGCGATAAACTCACGAATGCTGATGAGAATCTGAGCTAAAACCCCTGAATTGTTTTTTGCATTACGTTTTAACTTTTGTAGAAATAATGAGTGATATATCCTTTGGTAAAATTTCACGAGTCAAAAGCATTGAGGTGGGATTTACGGAAATTATCAGAAAACTGTGCTTGAGCTACTTTTGGAATTGAGCTAAATTTTCGGGGAAACATTACGGTAGACATAATAAATTGCTGTACACTTGAACAATTTCAAAAACTGTAAGATGCAGCTCTAACATTTTCGAGGGGACGCACAAAAAATATAATTCTTCAATCAGATTGAAGAGGTAATGAGCGCGTTGTTATTATGCTCCTGAAACTTTTTTTAAAATTCCAACTGAGTATGGAATTTATTTCCGGAAAATAGTGAGAGAATTGTGCAAAAAATGACGCAATTTCAAAGAATTTCATTTCCATGGCACCATTACAATATAAATCGAAAGAATGATCCTCTTCTTTTCTTCTTCCAATGAAGAAAACATTTGGCATGACTTTTCCTCAGGCCATCGGACACAATCCACACATGAGATTCCGAATACGAATTGTTTGGTCCCTCGATTTAAAAAAAAAAAAAAAAATTGGGACTATCCAAAAAAGAAATGGCGTCAAGGACGAGGAAGCGAGTTTTGGTGGAAGTACCACACCGGTGTTTTCACGAAACGGACCAGCATGGTTCACAAACGGCTGATGAAAACTGCGACGGACTCACACTTGACGGACTTTTTTCGTTTTTTTTTACACACTGACACAATTTTTGCAATTTTTTCCTCAGGGTTAAAAAAAAAACACATTTTTTACAACCCCCTTTGGACCCTTTCAATCAGCTGCCACGAAGGAAGACGACGAGACTGACGCTCCTCGCAAAGTTAGTAAAATATTGACAAATCGATCAAAGTTTGTATCACAACAACCCACTGTTCCGCAAAGATTTTTCCCCCTTCTCTTTCTTCGTCTCCGGGATTCAAAATAGGGAATGGAATCCTCTCCACAAAATCAAAAAGAAAACGGGAAGTCAGAGAACAACAATAAAATACATCCATATGAGATCCCCTTGGGCTTTTATATTTTATTCCTCGTCGATGCGTTGGCAATTCGTCGCTGGTGGTCTTGAACGGTTGCCGCGCTGTCGATGTCGTAAAAATCGCTGTCACACGGTGTCGTCGTTTTTCGTCAGTGATTTCCACGCAGGAGTTCCATGAGCAGGTTGAACGATTGCGGCTCTCTCGAATCGTCTTTCTTCAGGCTGAGCATTTCTTTTCCAACTTGCATAACAAACTACAAGTTTAAAAAAAAGAAAAAAAGATTTCGTCATGAAACATAACAGAAAATTCTTGAGCAAGGTGTTCCAGCAAGAATGCCTGTCATAGCCAGAATGCGTAGCATGAAAATAGCGATGATCAGAACGATTTTTAGGCCTAAAAACCCTGACCGAAATAGTGAGTTCGAAACATGTGCCTAGTTTTAAATTATTCAACGAGGCTTTCAGGCATAATTTTCAATATGAATAAAATGCGAAGGATTACACGCAGAACTAAATGACACCAAATTCTTAAAAGATAGTTTACAAGATCCTCAAATGCATTCCAGGCTATAAGAGTAATTTCCTTATTCACAAAACTAAAAAAAAGTTATCGAAAGTGATTTTATAAAAATGGTGCAATGACCAATTTGAAAATGAGACGGGCGAAATAAATAAGAAAGAATGCAACAAGAAAAACTTTACACGTCTAGATAAATTACAATGTTCTTCCGTGGTTCTACCATTTGAGATAAAATTCTTTCGTGAAAAAAGTGATTTTATTCAATTTCCTAAACATGATCTTTGTATGAACTTTGCAAAACTTTAGCATCAGACAACATTTCCAGCAGAAAATCCAACCATGACATTTTTTTATTATCTATAATGAGCAACTTCAGCAGGATGTCCTGAATTTTGCACAATTTCAAGGACTTCATTTGTTTGACAAGTGGGGGATGGAAACTGCAAGGGACTCACACTCGACAATTTTTGTTTTGTTTTTTACCCAAAGGTACTACATTTTTTTCCCCCAACAGTTTCTTGTGGGATAAAACCACAACAGAAGACCAAGATCACAAGCCTTCAAACCTGCCTTCGTGTTCGCCGATTTTTCCCGAAAAGCTCGATTCACGAATAATGGCGGCGATCTTTCAACACCCGTCAAAGAAAAAAATTTATCACATTTTTCCGGACCCTCCAGTCGATTGGTAAATGCAATATCACAACGATTACAGCAGTATTCCCTAACCCGTGGTTTTTCGGTGGTCCGTGGGAAATTTTCTTCTGCATAAAAAAATCAGTTGCAATTATCCAATGAAAAGAATAAAAGTTGGCTTTTCTCCTAATAACACTCCAGACATATTTTCAGCGCTTGAAATACGTTATTTAAATTTTCCATTCTGAGAAAACTTTCTTCAAGTCCACCTTTATAATTTTTGAAGACATTCTGCTTTAACTGCTTCATTGGTTCTTAATTTTTGCAAATATATAAACTTTTAAATACCTGCCATAGCATTTCAGAACAAAACTTTTTGCGTCCGCAAACATTTAATAAAACTTCGCCAGTCCGTAGAAAATTGTTTTGAACATTTGCCGGTTCGCGGGCCCGAATAAAAGGTAGTGGAGAACACTGTATCCACAGCCCAGCACTCACATGAGAAGTTCGTTGCAGCTCGGGGATCCTGAGCAGGAGCTCGCCGAACTTGGACGGCAGCAGCGGGGTGCGGGCCAGCGTGTACTCCTGCAGGGCCTGCAGGACCTTTTCCTGCGTGGCCCGAACGCGGTCGGTGCTCTTGAGGCCAGCTGGCACGTCGGAAGTGAGCAGGATGATGACCTTGAGTGCCACGTACTCGTAGTGGTCGACACGCAGTCGGCGAAGGTGGTCGGCAAACACCAGCATCCGCTCTATGCACAAGTCCAGGCCGACTTCCTTGGCCTCGGCCACTGTCAACGACTTGCCCGATGAGATCTGCATCCGGCCCGGGGTCGCCATTGATCGGTAGCAGCAGGCAAAGAGCAGCAAGTCGCACCAGGCGTTGATCAGCAGTGCCGTCAGGTCGTCGATCTAACGTATGAATAGCGAACAAAAGAAAATAAATTATGAATTTATAGTCAGAACCTCGATAAACCTCGACAGAGCATTTGTCTGTGAGGTGTGTGGCGGTTTAAAGATCCTCGGGGGTTTCTCAAAAAACTTTGAAAATATTAAAATTAAGTTGAACCTGCTTAAGTTGACTCTCAAGGGAACAGGAAAAAAAATTCGACTTAGGGAGGTTTTGAGTTATGGTAATACTGTAAGCATTTTTGTTGTGTGAAGCATAAAAGAATTACAGGAAATTTTAAATGGTGACATTATGGGCCTTAAATTTCTTCTTAAATGAGTTGACAGGATGCTGAAGTTGGAGGGCAAAGGGTTCGTTTGCCCATTTAGTCCTCCACTTCCTTTCCATGCTAATTTTTTATTACAGTACTTTTATATTTCCTGTGTCAAGAAAATTGCAGACAAAAGGCCTCAGAAAATTCGAGTTACGGAGGTTTTGAGAAAAGACTTCGAGTTCGGGAGTTTTTAATGCCTTATTTTTAAGGCAATCGAAGTAGGGACTTGAAATATTTCGACTTCGGGAGGTCTTACACTTCAGGTGTGGGTTGTCAAGGCTTTACTGCATAATAAGAAATATAATTTAATTCTTCTTTAAAAAACATTTAATCTTGAAGCATTCTTTCATCATTCCCGAATCACATTTCTCAATTAAAAAATATAATGCAACATAAAGTTGCAAGTAAACTAATGACGTGAGTAAGTTAAGTTTCCCCGAAACACTACTAGTGTTTTTTGAATTCGCAAATTATTAGTTCAAGTTCGATGAAATATTTAAAAATAACATTAGAAAAATTCTGTTGGAAAGTGTCCTACATTTTGACAACCATACTTTATTATACTGTAATTCGAATAGTGCTCTGAAGAGAAACATTTCTAACCTTTCATTTCCACCGCGAATTCAGTAACAAAATTTAAAATGGCGAAGACGAAGTTGCGCAAGCCTGAGTTGCAATTTACAGAAATCCTCAGAAAATGAACAATTCATGTTATTCCTTTCATTGATTTCAGATGAATTCAACGGATTTCGATAGGAAAAAACATGAATACCCGGTGAACTTCGGTCCGAAGTTCACCGGTTTACAAAATGTTATGAACACATATATATTTACTGCACCTGATTTTTCTTCACGATATTCAAAAAATATACTTTATGGCTTTGCGGGCAAGCCAAAAAGGATTTTTTAAACACAATCAGCGCCGTATACCATAAATTTCTCCAGTGAGTCGTTCGTACCTCATATTTGATGTACGATTTAATAGTAATAAAATTGAAAGACCAAGCAGGAAAAGATTAAAAATAGGATTGATGTTTTATGCTTCCATGGTACTCGTACTTCATTAAATATTTCCAGTCTCAATTAAAAGCGGCGTCTCATCTTGTCAATCTATTTCACTCTTTCGCATGCAATGACCCAGATTTCGTAGGTCATCGGAAGCACCGAAGTATTGTCAGGTAGGAATTAACCGTCGATCAAGCAGAAAGTTGACTGGATCCCAAAATTTCGAACCTTTTTTTTCAATTTACGCATAGTTTTTTTTTCTTCAAACATTTCGAATTCAAATGCGAACCGAACAACTGTCATTGGAAAGACGTCGATCCCATTATTTCAACGTTCTCCATTTATTTTCATGAAGCCCCCAATTTTCAAAAACCTTTTGAGTTTCAGTTACAGATCACAATTGAAAACGTTGCTGGATGACCTTTTCGTAGTAAAGTAAAAGTTATCTTCATATTTTTCCTTTCCCACGGGCGGAGATTCTCAAGCTGACATGACACCTATACGTAAGGTTTCTTTTTTTTTCTAAAGATTTACGCAACATTCAAAAATTGCATTCAATATATTCCCGTCAACTACAGTTACTCCTGTTGAATTATTTGTCATTTGGACTGCCCTTCCTACACGCAATCGTTTACAGAAAATCTGGAAATTAATTGAAAAACGCATACAAATGATAGATAACATATACATATAATATACAATAATATATAACATATACATATGATAGATAGTATATTTTATTGCCAAATTTGAATTACACCTTGGACCATCCATGTCAAGTCAGTTTGAGAAAATTCGTAGGTAGGCCCTGGCACTTGAAAAATATCGAATAGGCTATTTGTTATTTAAGGGTCAGCCAATACACTATTTCCTCGTTATTTAAACTTAATTGCACGTTCAATAATTTATGTAATGAAATAAAATGAAAAGGTCGGGGTTTCCTAAGAAACTGAGAGAATGGCGGCAACATTCCAAAAACCGCTTGGATATAACTTACAAAATATATTTCTAAATTTACCCCTCAGCAATTTAAAGCGGCATTTTGTGAATCCCCTCTCCTGACTCGTAAAATGTTGGGATGATGTAAAATAATTAAGAGAACCTCAAGAAAAATGCAAAATAGCAGTTCGGCGCGCATAAGTTGTAATGACTCTTTAGAAAAAAAAACCCCCACATCACATGCATGTCGTCGAACGATTTAAATGGAGTAAAACGCGTAATTCACGAACTCGTACTCGAATAAAAAAAATAATAATAATAATAAGAAAAGGGCGGACGAACTGACCTGGATTTCCTGCATGAGCGGCAAACTCTTGCACCACTTGACGATTTTGTAGAGGCGCTGGTCGGCGATGCTGCAGAGGCAGGTGAGCAGGCGGTCGTCGTCGGTGCTGAGGGCGGCCGAGGAGGAGGACGCCGAGGTCGTCGACCCGTTCTTGCCGCTTCGGGACGACCCCGTCGACGACGACGACGACTTTCGCGACACGGCGGCGCCGGCGCCGGCACCCTGCGGCGACCCGCCCGACAACACGACGCCCTCGTCCACAGCTAGTGGCGCGTTGCACTCTTCTATCCTCCGGTTGATGCGGTTCAGCTCGGCTTCGGTGTAGTGCCACAAATGCTCCACTGACATTATCTCCTGAGCACGGCATTGATGGCATTGAGAAAAAAAAAGTAAGAGAGAAAAACGAAAAATATTAATAAATCATTCGCAGTTACACACCACACAGTGATACAATCACTGTTATGACGATTCAAAATTTGAGAGGAAATGTGTTTCCTTCTCCTCCATCCGAGTAAAATACGCTTCATTAAATAGTAATCACAGTGACATTACCTCCAGCGCAAGATACAGTATTGGCATTGAGAAAAGAAAAATCATTCGCACTTATTATAGTCAATGCTTTGCCGATTCAAAATTTGAAAAAGCGCTTCCTTCTCCCTTCAACCAAGTAAAATACTTTCCATAAAATACAGAAAGGCGCCGAAAGACGGACGATTTGACTTAGGGGCACTCGAAATTGAAAAAAAATCTGCCGCGAAATCAGGTCAATGTTTCGCGCGATATGGACACACCAAAATTTCCAGACAAATTGAAAATTTCAATTTTCAACATTTGTTTCGCTCTTTAAACAAATTTAGCTCTTTATTCAAAGAAATTAGATATAACAATTTTATTGAAAATTCACTATGCAGTAATTCACAACCCAAAACAGGCTAATTTTGTGTCTCTTATTTACTCTGAGTTCTTTCCATCATCTGCGCCGAGCTTAGGAATACTTGGGCTTGTTTTCTTTGATTTTTGGACTCCTTTTCATGCCAGAAGATCAGATTATGCGTGACTTTCTTCTGCACAGTTATTTTCTGCATCTTGAAGTTGAGAAAATGATTTCATTCCAATTTGGGGGGACTGTTTTCGAATATTTTGTCAACAGAAGAACCGATTTAGTGTTTTCCCGTTGAAGTACTGTACGAGGAAAAGCGTGATACGACATGTGGACGTTCCGACATACGGACATGGTTCGAACACCAACTGCATTGACATCATATCCTGCGCACGTTACTGGCATTGGGAAAATAAAACAAAAGACAAAAGTTCGATAAATCACTCGAAATTATTATAGTCGATGTTTTGACGATTCAAAATTTGAAAGCAGAAGATGATGGCTTTTCTCCTCCGACCCTGAATTTTGATTTCTACGGGCGATGAATTAAACATGAACCATTGATGGATTTTGTCTGACTCTAAATGAGTTTCATCCAACGGTCGGCTGCCTCAAGTTTACTATTAGACGAACCCCCCCCCCCCCCCCCATAATTTGAAAGTATCTTTTAAATTACTGAAGCTTCGTTTTCGGAAATTGAACGCTTTGAATTTCACTAATAAAATAATTTACATCTTGAAAATTGAGATTCGGCTAATCGAGATTTTATATAATGCGCATCGGCGTTTAGCAAATTTCTTCGCAAATCAATGAGCGAAGTAAAATAATACTGTATCAGTAAAAGTAGGAGTATTATTCGTCTGTAAGATAATCCCTTTATACGCAGACTTCTTCTTTCTTCTCTTTCAAAAATACAAGCTTTTAAATTTCGGAGTTCTCAAGCCTCTGGTTTCTCAAGAAGTGAAACAAATTTTCGGAGACTTTCAAAAATGCATCTTGGCCTTGGGATTGACTTCGTTAGATCGCAAACTGAATTTTCAAAAGCCTTAACTTTTCCTATAAAAATTAAATTTTACCACGCATGATTTATACTTTAGAGTCGAAAATGCATTACAACTGAAGAAATCTTTTTCTTCGGAACTATCAATATCGATTTCAAGTCGTAAAATCCCTCAGTTCTCAAGCGTCCAAAAACGTTCTTCACGTTATTCATCTGTGTTAGATCTCTGCTGCTCTACGCGTTTCTGCCGATTAACGATTCAAGATAAATTTTTAAAACTTCTTCGATTAAAAAACGAATAAAAGAAACAAGCAAAATACGCTTCATACAGCACTGGACTGTTACCGCCGACAAAGAAAAAAGGAAGAAAGAAGTTCCGCGTACAATGACCCAAAGTCTGCCGAGACGCAGCGACCGACATTCGTCGGGACCGGCGGCTCTCGAAGCCCATTAAGCGGAATTATAAGACCAAGAGATTCAATAGAAAGACTGCTGGAGGATCAATAATAAAGCTAGTCTACGGAAGGGTACGCTTAGAGGGATGACGAAATAAAAGAGGCAACGATGACTGAAATAAAAATATGGACAGCAGAAAGATAGAAAGAAAGAACGACATTCTCTGTCATCACACGCGATATAATAAGTTCGGAAATAACGGTAATCCGAGAACGAGGATAGGAAGACTGGCCACAGCAGTACTAGAAGCACCAACCAGCATCTGGACAGGAAAAGACCCGTTCGACGACGAAGAGGAAAGAAAAGAGTTGCCAACATATGAGGGGTTTCTAGAAAGTCCTGCGAGTCATCTGCAAATTTTCATTGCAGACGGGAACCTGATCATTATTTTTTTTTTACCAATTTCAACTGATTCCTAAAAAAATGTGTCATGCCTCTATAAAAAGACAAGGATTGCATGCGTACGAATTTAACGTATCTTTTCGAATTTATTCTGTTTGTCTCTTGAAAGTCTTGTGTGCCATGCGCAATTTTTCGTTGCAGGCGGATGAAACCTGATAATAAATTTTTACCAATTTCGAATGATTCCTAAAAAAAAATGTGTCGTGCCTCTACGGAAAGGCAAGGATTGTATAAATACAAATTTTAACGTACTTCACGGAATTTACTTTGTTTGCCTCTTGAAAATCCTGCGAGTCAACTGCAAATTTTCATTTCAGTCAGATGCTACATGATCAATTTTTACCGATTTCACTGATTCCTAAAAAAATCGTCGTAACTCTAGACGAAAAGGTAGGGATTCTATTCATGTCGAAATTCAATGTAATTTTTCAAATTTACTTGGTTTGCCTCTCAAAAGTCCTGGGAGTCCGCAAATAAAGGAATTGCAGGTGGACGAAAACAACTGAGCGATTTTCACCTATTTTCAAAAATTTGAAAACGTATACGGTCGTATAAACAGATGCAGTTTAGAATTTTAGATGGACTGAGAAATACATGGAAATCGAAGTTAACCTACGAAGAGTATAAAGAGTAACTTCAGTTTAAAATTCCGAAAAATTTCTTCTTCGCCAATGGTACTTTTTAATTGGCGGGTTTTAACAGAATTTTTCGAAACGGAATGTTCAGAACCATCAAGAAGAAACTGAAAAGTGAGTTATAATTCCTTTAATCGAAATGACGACTCGCAGTCGCAATTCGCAAGAATTTTGAGAAACCCCTGATACTTCGAAGAATCTTGAGGACTCGACAACCATATATCACGCAACAATACAAAATAACTTCAGAAAAAAAAATAACTCAGGGTTTTTTTTTTGCCCAAAAAAAAAAAACTCACGCAACTTCTGAGAGCCAAGCAATACACAGGAAACCCACGAAGTGAAGTTTGCAATATTTTTCCAATTACATTTTTTATGATCCTGGTGATTTAGAATCAAAGGCTGACTTTGAAAATACTGTACTACTGCATCGAACGTGGGAAAATGCCCAAAAGCATGGGTCATGAACGATGCAGATACTTCAGAATATTCCGGTGAAAATTGCACAGGCAGCAATCGACAAGACTTTTCTTCTAGAAAAATGAGGCGTAAACAAAAAAATTTGCACGCTTCACTGAATACAGCGTTGCCATATTCGGAGAAGTATCCTTATACTTCTAGACTCACATACTTATAAAGCCACGGGCTATCTGCAAAAAAAAACACGGTTTACAAGAAAAGTTCGTTTCAAAGAACATAACTTATACGATTGAAGATCAAACCAAAGTTGCAGAGGTTTCCCAAATTTCTACAATCTAAAGTTTCGCGTTCCTGAACTACGCAGCTAAAAAAAATCCAAAAATGTTGCCATACTTATGGAGTCGCACCAAAATGTTTCATGATAAAAATTAACATGACTGGCATCAATGGATTTCGTTAGAATCCCCGCTTTGACTTTGCAATCAAACTGGAACTCTTTCAATCATCTGCGTAACTTATTTTTTCCTTTACAGGAAAAAATTAGTAAACCCTGATTTTTTAGTCTTCATCTCTTGTTGCAATACGTGCGCATTATGATGAACCATTTCGATTGAATTTTGGACACGAACAATTTAATGGACATACTTTATTTTGAAGCAGAAAGCTAGGAAATTCCTAAAAGCCATTGACGAAAAATGAATTATGCGGTCACTGTCGGACCTCTTCAAGTCGTATTCAAAGGGAGCAAAAAAGTATTCGAATTCGTGAGGGTTCGAGTTATCATTGAAAGGTTAGGGAAACCAAGCCTGGAAATTCTTGCTGTAAATTTCAGAAGAAATACTTGGGGCTCAAATTTTTGCTGTGACTGTGTGTTGTGGTCTTTAAAAGCATTTCCTAATTTTACATAGAAAAGGCTAGCCACAGGAAAATGCCTTATAAATGAGTCTGCATGATGCAGAACTTCAAGCCCGGATTTTATGGACATATTGAAGTAGCTCATTTTTTTCTTTTTAAAAGCATCATCATTTGAATTTCCTGTTCTTTCTTGTCGGCAAAAATTTCGAGTTAAGGAGGTTCGGGTTACATAGTTTAACAAGGACTTCGGACAGGGACTTGAAAACCGAATCGAGAAGATCCGATTGTACAATATTTTTTATCGTCCCACCGACCCTTCCGTAAAAACTCCGTTTCTGAACTCTACGTCTCCCGTATCGAAAATTGATAAATCGCGTGAAATGAAGGAGACTGACATTTTCCTTATCCGATTTCCAAAATAACTCGACAGTGAAACCAACCGTTGGTAACACTGAGTGCCAATAGCCAGCTAGAGAGGACCAAACCGCCAAGACAAAGGACCAGTACACGGAGGAAGACGGAAGGAAGGAAGGAAGGCAAGCATAAAGCATGGGCAACACGATGGGATTTTTAAAAGTCCTCTAACTTTCCAAAAACTAACTCGCCCAACTGAAATATTTAAAATGTAAATAATGTAGTTCTTTTCGACGTTCCTCTCATTTCGTCCTAATTACTTCGCCCTTTTTTTCTACTTCCGCATTCACAAGTCCGATTTAAAAAAAAAGAAAAAAACACACGCATCAGTTCGAGACACGTACGGTTTCGTTCTGCGCGATATTGAAGGAAGCAGATTCGCTCAGCTTATGCATGTTCTACAATTGCTGATTAATTCACAAACTAAATGACGTTTCAAAAATACAAGAAATATTTAGGGCATCAATATAGATCGAACTAATTCAACCAGTTCCGGAAACAAGTTTTCGTGTCGTGGGAAAGATAGAAGAATTACAGGAAATTGTAATCGATGATATTCCGAACCTTAATTGCTTCTTAAATGAGTTGACAGAATGCTGAACTTGGAGGCAAGGGTTCAATTGCCCAATTAGTCTTTTCCTTCCTTTCAAAACACATCAAGTTACTTTTCCCTTGTCAAGGAAATAATAGCCAAAATGTCCAAGGAATAAATTCGAGTTACGCAGATTTGAGAGGAAAAGCCTTCAAGTTAGAGAGGCTTTTTAATGCATATTGTTTCTAAGGGAATTCAGACGTGGACTTGAAAAAAATATTTGACTTAGAAACGTAGTTGACTTATTAAGGGGGTTCGAGTCATTGGTGTATTGAGGTTGGAGAAATTCTCAAGCATTGATCAATGCTATAAAGTCGAGAAACTTTTGAAACCCCCCTCGCGTATTCGAGTGCGGGCAGCAGACCTGCTCCAAGACGTGGGCAGAAGAAGTTCACGAACGAAACCAACGGTGGTGGTGGTGGGACAAGGGATACGGAGAGGGGGGGATGAGGAAGATGAGAGCATAGAGGAAATGAACATGAGGGCAGGAAAGGAAGAAGGAAGTGAGAAAGGAAAGAGGGAAGGAAGGAAGGAAGAGAAAGAGAGCCGCCGCCTTTGAAGAGAGTTGAATCACCTGGAGCAACGGTGGCACATTCGCCTCGGTCACGGGCGCAGCCGCCAGCTCGTCGTTCCCCGCTTCCCTCACGGGTTGCAACAAGTTCGGTGACCCCGCGGGCGCGGGCACGCCGTTCACCGCCGATACCGCCGCCGCCGTGGCGGTCGTGCCAACGCCGCCGCCGCTGCCGTCCGCGCCGGCACCCAGAGGCGGTGACAGCAAGCTCGTCGGTAGTGTGTACGAGCACTGGTAAGTACTGCGGCCGCCTCTCGTCCGGTCTTCTCGGATCGCTGAAAATTTTTTTTTTTAGAAAACAAATTTTTTCAATAGCATTTTCTTTCATCTAAAAATGCGATCGAAGCCGAGACGATCGTATTAATTACAGGGAAGCAAGACAATTACCACAGTAGTCTTAATTTACTGAAAGTACTGTAATCAAATAAAATTGCTGTGACAACCGATTTCCTCCGTATTGTATCACATGATAAAATTAGGCCCCGTGCACGTGGTTTTTTTTTTTTTTTTTTTTTTTTTTTTAAATAAAAAAATTAGGCCCCGTGCACGTTGTTTTTTTTTTTTTTTTTTTTTTTGCGAACATACGAGCATCGGAAAAATAATGTTGTCACGGTTCATAAAAAAAACCATTCTGTCGGAATATTACATGGGTAGTTATTTCGTGAAAACGAACAAAATAGTCCGAGTCATTTCTTTTCTTTACATCGCAAAAAAAAGTGTTCCTACATTTTTATTTGTGTATCCGCGTCTAACGCTCTTGAAGCGGGAAATTATCTTTGTCATGGTTTGGTCAAGAATAATTCTGCAGCTTTTTTTTACAGAAGTATTCATTTCGTACAAGTTGACATGAATTAAAAAAGGCCATTCGTTCGGTGAATCACGGAAAAGCTTTAGAGAGAATGAGTGGGGTTCGGGTTGAATTAAAATGTGTTACTGCTGAACTTTGCGGAGTACAAAATACCGCAGCGTTTCATTAAAAAATAACATCGTTCTCCGCGGCTTTCCGGGGAATACGGAAAGTTCTAAAGAATACGCTCAAAATATGGAATAAATGAATCAACAGTAGACCCCGACCTTTGAATACTTCTAAAAATATGAGCCCAAGATGCTTTGAATTATGAATAGCTCGCTTCAGGTGACGACAAATTACTCTGAAAAATACGAAATTATTTTGCCAAAATGTTGGCAGTTTTCATGGATAAGAAAAATTTTTTCCGTCATTGTCATTTTCTAAAAATTCTAGTTTTGTTCTCAGCTCTGATTTTCAAACATTTTTTTTTTAATGTTGAACAAGATAAAAAAGGTTTTTTTGTTTTTTCTTCAATGCAATGAATGGAATAATACTATGTGCAATCTTCATTCGCCAAATCAAACGCTAAGGAAATCCTAAACGCAGAAAAGTACAGTATAATTGTCGTACTATTTTCTTCAATTTTTTTTCATTTTTCATAGCACTCACCTTCTAGCTTCATGCCCATGGACAGACACTTTTCAAATCGACAAGCAGGGCACTTTTTCCTCGAAGCGATCGTGACAGGACAGCCAGCGCCTCGCAGACACACGTAGTTCTTCTTGTTTTGCACAGTTCGCTTGAAGAAGCCCTTGCAAGACTCGCACGAGAATATCCCGTAATGGAAGCCAGAAATCTTGTCTCCGCAAATTGGACAAGGACTGCGAAAGAAACAAATTTGGCGCAAGAAATGAACACATGAGCAGCGTTCTGGCTGAAATTATTTATACTGGCCGTCACAACTACGCCGATGACACCATGAACATTGAAAGCTGTTTATGTATTTGTGTTTGAAACAAAACAGAAGACTTTTACATTTTTTATCGATCCATTCAAAAATTGTACGCATGATGAGGCATTTGTACTGACGTTTTCATGAAAAATATTCTCCGCATGTTAACGCAAATTAATCACTTGAGCAAGGGTAAGTTGAAAATTATATATACTGTAGTTATTTTCATCTACGATCATCGGCTTTATTGTAAAAGGGTGTCGGCATTTTTGCGAGCAAGGAAAATAAAATTTCAAAGAAAGATACGAAGCAAATTTATTTTTAATTATCCAAATACTGGGGGCAGAATTTTCTTTGAGGATCCCTCCTAAAAGAATGTCACTGCTTTCTCTAATTCAAGACGATAAAATCTCCGAAGATTTTAAATTTATACATTGTCTATGCCGTTCGTAATCATTAGAAATCTAGCAAGTAATTAATGTAGTTTCATGATGTTCCAAGGTTCTGGCATTTTTAAAAGGATTTTAAAGAACATTTTCGATTTACTGCAAAGATGATAAGTGAAAACTTTCCAGTTTACAACCAGAGTTTTTCCACCTGAGTCACAGGGTGCTAAAAATTTGTCAGGACAGCAGTGAAAATTTCATTTCTCGGTTTTTTACCCATTATCTTTCCGAAATTATAGGTGATGGTTAAAACAACTAAAAATAGTATTTTCTTCAACTCGCCCGACACATTTTTAGTACCCCGTGGGCCGTGACACGGTTTGAGAACTCTGGCTATAACTGGAAAGTCCTCGCTTAACATCGTGCAGTAAATTGAAAGACGTTTTTAAAAATCCGAAAAAAAAATCCCTGAACCTTAGAACATCACAAGATACAGTATGTCATGATTGTTTTTTTTTTTATCACATCTACTCTAAAAATATCAAAGGTCGCGTCCAACTCGGACAACCCCCGTAGAATTGGGGCTAAAATTTCCAAAAGGTCAGGCATTTGCCTGGGGAAGCACTGGCAGGCAAAGAAACGGGTGGACTCTTCTTTAAATTAGAATGAGGAAGAATAAAAAAAATTTCCAGGAGGGAACTTTCTACGTAAAATATATGGTTATATATACATATAATGTCTGTTTATATACGAGTATGCTACTGCCAACGTTTCCCCAGTGTTTTTCTTTTTCTTCATAGCTGTGATTTCATTTTAGACAGTGGCAGATGAGAAAAATTTAGTAGATTAAAAAATTAATCTAAAAAACCACGTTTTCAAAAACCGGACAAACAAACGGACAAGAAAGCGAGTTAATAAAAACGTGTTAAAATAAATCGAACCTGTTGATGAGCTGCTGCCTGGAGATGCCGGTCTGGGCGAGGGCGGAGTGCTGCAAAAGTTCGGCCGCCGCGGCGCCCGCGCTGAAGTCCGCCGGCGACAACGGACTCGGACTCGGGTTCGAGCTGTAGCTCGAGTAGTTGGAAGAGCCGCCGTATTGCGAGGCGTCCGAATTGTTCCGGCTCAAACCCGGACTCCGCGTCTGAGAATACGGCGAACTGAATCCTACAAAAACGGACACACGAATAAAAAATAAAATAAAATGCATGTGTTGATAAATAAAAAAAAAATCCCCGCGTATTTTTTCCTCTCGGAAAAAATCCAGTCACGATTCTCCGTCATTCGCCTCAATACATTATTCAACACGCACGGACACGAGTGCGACGTTAAATCAAACAATGACTGGAATAAACAAAGATTTTCGGCCCAGTTTTCGGATTTGCTTGATGAGGCGAGTTCCTTGTGCGAGATTTTATCGATTTATGCGATACGTGAAATCGAAGAGCATGTATCTCATTTAGGACGAATGGCTAGACGCAGTGAACTGCAAGATAAGCGAATTAATTCGATGATCTTGTCCACGTATGAATATAAAGACCGGAGTTCCAATTATGAACTGAATTTTGCAAAAAAATGCAGATGGAATCTCTACGGAGCGATCTCGTCCACAAAGATTTTCGCTGTACTGTTCAACGACTTATTTTTTTTTTTTGTCACATGGAGTTTATTTTCCCATGTTATACGCGTTCTCTGCAACGAAATTCCGTCTAAAACGAATTTTTTCTAGTCCTTTAAAATGCGTCGTGGGGAGAGTCCACTTGTCCTCATAGATCGTATTTCACTAGAATTTATAAGTAGATATTTTTTTCTGCGAACACTCGCTTGAAAATGAAAGTGCGCCTTATATTCGAACAAAAACGGAATTTCCTGGAGAAACACTTGCTTACCAAACACAAGCAAAGTCTAATAAAGTACTTTTTTCTGAAAGAATGTTCCGCAAAGGGGATATTGGCAACGAAGGACAGTTCAGATACATTCGGAAAAAATTAGGTAATTTTAAAATCGGATTTAACGGGTAAGATATTTGCAGATATCGTGAAGTCTTGAATATGGGCTGTGCAGTAGAAATTCAGTGTGTCCTAAATTCCAGTAAATAAAGTTTTCTACATTTTCATTTTTTAGGCGCACTTTTCAGGAGGAAATGTCGACCCGCATATCTGAAACAGTATTAAAATATTTAAACATCCTAAGCATTTGTTCGGAGCATTAATTTTTACGTCACCTTCGGGAATCGTTGGATTGAAAAAAAATTTGTTATTGATAGATTTCAGGTGGTGTTCTAAAAATTCTAAATTTTGCGAAAGTATCTTGAAATTTCAGGAAAATGAAGTCGCTTAACCTCGCGGAATTCCATTACAAAAATTACTAGCAGAAAAAACGAATAAGTTATTCACAATATTTCCTTTACTGCTTTCAACGTGTTTCCAACTTTTATGTTTCCATAGCATCGTTAAAAACTGAAAATACTCAACTTAATCATCTTTGGATTTCCGCTGTTTCAACGCAAGTTCAGTCTGAGCACAGAACGCATGAATTACAGAACTCTACTTTACAGAAATTTCCGACCGGAAACATTTGCTCAGGGATGGATTTCATCTTCAACATTTTTTTCAACGCCTACCTTTTTATATCACGGCAAACACATTAAACCTCTCGTTCATTTAAATCCTTCAGTGAAGGACAGACAGGACCCGACTTCTGTTGAAACATTATAAAGCAATTTTTGACGCTTGACATAAATTTCGAATTGGTCTTGTTGCTTGAATTTTAAAACAACAACAAAAACAAAGAAATTATGTATTAAGAAACAGTGTTCCCAACCTTTTTGGGCTCACAGACCGACAAACTTCCCTAAAATTTTTCGGGGACCAACAAATCTAAAAAAAAAAAAAAAAGAAGTTCTGCGGACTGGGTAAGTTTCGTAAAATGTTTGCAGACACAAATTGTTTTGCTTGAAAGGATTTACGGCAGTTATTCAAAAGGTTTCTGTTTTTATTGAAAATTAAGTCAGGAACCAATGAAGCAGCTATCGTGGAATACAGTCTCTTCAAAAAATTAGAAAGGTAGGCTTCAAGAAAAGTTTCTCATAATGAAAAATTAATACAATATATTTCAGTCGGTGAAACTTTGTCTGAAGCGTCATTTGGAGAAGAGCCAACTTTTATTTTCCATCGGAAAATTTCAAGGTGTCATTGTCCTTCCAAAATTTCAGACGAAGCCAACAGGCTTGACTTTGCTCATTTTGATGAATTATTATTCTAAAAAAAATTTTCCGCGGACCGGCAAGAAGCTTCTGCGGGCCGGCGCCGGTCCGCAGACCCCCGGTTGGGGAGCACTGATGTAAAACATTCGAAATGTAATTACCCGACATGTGTCTCGACTGCAGCGGCGACTCGGTAGGAGAGTAGAAACTCGATCTCCGACTCGGATCCGGCGACGGAGGATAGTAGCAGATGAGATTCCGCGACAACACCGGGGACTTGCTCGCGATACTCGCGATTGCCGCCGCGGCGGCCGAGTTCACAGCGGGGTTCACGAGCGTCGTCGCCGGCGACGACTGGGCCGCCACTGAAGCCGCCGCCGCGACTGCAGCAGCTGCAGCCGCTGCTGCTGCTGCTGACGCCGCACCAGTAGCATTAACACTACCCGAAGGCAAAGAATGTTGGGTGACAACAGCTAATCCGTCTTGTTGTTGCTGCATGTGGGCTTGAGCAGAACCCGACGAGGCGTTCCCGCCTGCGACGGGTTTCGGGCTGCCAGACTGGGACGCAGGTGGACTCAAGAGGACCCATTCCTCGGCGCGACGGATGCCGATCCGAAGGTCCATGCCGTCGTTGGTTTTTTCGTCTTCTTCTTCTTCGTCGTCGTCATCGTCGTCGTCGTCGTCATCGTCGTCTTCGTTGCGGTGTCGGTGTCTTATTACACTTGTTCCGCTGCTGCCGCCACCGCCGCCGCCGTCGTCGTCTTCGTCGTCCATTCGCTCTGGGGATTCCGGGTTCGAGGAACCGCCTGCTCTGAGCGCTAGCAACGACGACGCCGCTTCTTTCATTTTTGACGCTAAATAAAATAACCCGGAATTGATTCATTTCAAAAATACAAAGTCAATACTGTATTCACGCATTTACTCGAATGTCTACGTCGCATCCACATTTTTGCAACTACTACAACAAACGAGCTTCTTATATACTTAATGGCATCTAATTTTATTCGGAGGTAAAGCGTACGATTTTTTCTGATCAAGCCAGCACTGCTATGAATAAAAATTATCTGTACTCGAATCCAACAAATCATTTTCATTTCAAGGTTACCAGATAGTTACAAAACTTTATTTCTTTTGAAAATTGTGTTCGAGGTGATTACGCTGGTAACTGACGAGTAATCATAAAATAGTTGCGCATAACCCCAATCGAAAAAACTTTTTTTCGGGCATAATTTGAACGGTGAAGTTCGCAAGATGACATAAAATTTCACTGTGAAAATTCATAGGCTATCGTGCACTGAACTGAAGGGTGTAATTTGAAGCATGTTGATGTTTTGTGACTCGAGTAAACACTTGAGCCCGCGTCTTTATGATGCTAACCTTGTCAAATGCATAAAATTTTACCGTTTATTATATATTGCTACGCTGATGATGAACATTGCATCTCGATTCGTTCATGTAATGATAAAATCAAACTATAAATAATTAATGCACCAAGATTAAAAATTGTACCGAATTACCTGGATGCAAAACAGGGGATCCTGGATCTGAACAAGCGTCCATCCTCGAATCAGAGTCAAATTCCACGTCTTCGTTTTTCACCACCGAATCCAAGGCCAGATCTGCAACACAAATAATCAAAACGATCTTATAATTTCAAACTTTCCATGAAAAGCACCAATTAAAGATGAATAATACGATTTGAAAACCAAGCTCAATCGGCAAACATTTCCGCCATTGAGATAAAGTTATAAACAATTCAAGCCCCCATTCTAAAAATCGGTTACAACACAGAGAAGCACGTTTCAGATAGTGTATTCTAGATTCTCTAGGTTTCTAGAACATTGATCTTCAACCGGCAGTCAGAAAATTTCAAGACAGATTTGTAATGAAGTACTAGTTTTTGTTCATTTACGAAAACAGGTTTTCAAAAATGTCTGCCGGTCTGCAAAAAAGTTTTCGAGAATTTTCCGGTTCACATAAAAGTCTTCAAAGTTTGTTCGTAAGAATGTGTTTACAGAAGAGCAAGCGTAAGAATAAAAGTCATAAAAAGAACATCAAAGAGAGTAATTAATAGATTTCTGACTACGGCCGCTTACTGAAAAATACTTACTCATAGTTCCAATTCACTAAATAGCAGAAACCTCGAATCGAAACTTGCGTAAGTTTTGCAAATGATTTTTTCGATACGCGATTGCTAATTATAAAAAACCTGAGCATTTTGCCGAATCGTGAAAATGTGACACATGTAGGTGATAATATCGCACGAAATAGGTAATCCCATTTATATTATGATGCACAACATCCTGGAAACTCGTTTCAGTCCAGTTGTCTATCGTTCAACTAAAAAAAAAATACATAAAACATTTAGAGAAAGAAAACATCATGGGAATGGAATACGGACCAAGAAATTGGTACCTAGTAATGAGCAACTGAGAGAATCACTTGGAAGGAACGTCAGCTGCTTGGCATAAATTAGTATTTCCGGTTTGCGAATTCGCTTCCCGGATTGCGAAAGACGGTTACGAGATGATTCATGCAGCAGTCATCCACAATCAAGCTTTCGCAATTTCAACACAGACGACCCAGACATAATTTCATCTCGAATTCTTCCAAAAATCTATTGTGCATTTGCCAGACAAAGAAGCTCCTTATCTCAAACGATAAAAAAAAAAATCCTAGCACACACACAAAACATAATTCTGTCGTATTACCGCGGGCATAGGCCGCAAATTCTTCAGGAAAAGCTCGGCCGCATCGAATCCTTTATATGCGACTAATTGTCAAGAATTACAGATAATGCAATGCAATATCCGCAGGAGGAAAATACAGTATGTAAATTTCGAACCAGTTAATGTTCCTCCAAACAGAACATATCACGAATATTTTCCAATAAGGCTTGAATTTCTCGTAACTGAAGCTGTCTCTTGTACAGTACCTCTTCGAAGTGATGTGCGTCATAAAAAAAAAGTGAGGTTTTTGTTTGTGCGCGAGAAAAGGACATTCCAAACATTTTTTTTCGCGGTCCATGACGGAATTTCTCCTCAAAATCTGGGTGGGGCCAACGCTCGAATAAATGCGGTGTTTGGGGAGTTCCAAATTATTGACAAATTATTGCCAGTAATTTATTTCAAAAATAATTTCCTGAAATAGAAAATACTGTCCTGTACCACTGTACATGGCAAATAATCTCCGGAAAAATGAACTGAAAAGGGAAATCAAAGCCGAAACCCCGGAGTCATAAACTGAAATCGAACGGTATTTCAGCATGCCGCAAATCTGAAGCAAAACATAAAACGACGTCCTTGACGGTCCCTTAATACAGTATATATTTTGTTTTCCTTCAAAATTCCCATCATTCGCGCGGATTTTACTCGTCAAAAAGTGAAGGACGGCCATTCTGAATCGATGGAAATTTGACAAAAAACGTGGTCGGTTTTTTTTAACATTCGGGGTTTCAAGCAATAATGCTTTGTCATCTGTCGTCGGAGCTGGTCTATACAGGTGTTTATTTTTGTACATGCACTCCTTGTAACTGGAAATACTCGCAATTTTGCTCATTATTCATAGGCCTCTCTTTAACTTCAGCGATTCCACGTTTTGCATGATTTGAAATTTGAAGCAGTACGTAAAGTCATGGAAGAGGACTGTCCGAATTCCGCGCGGCCCAGAAGTACTATTTTATTCTTCATCACATTTTTGGCTGCTAATAATTTTCTTTTCAATTTTTGGCCAATAACGGTTTAGTATGAAAAATTAAAAAAAACCGTTTGTCAGGAGCAAAACATGTTATTTCAATTGGAGCGCACTGAAAGTTTGGAAGCTGAGTTGAATGATACCCACCACGGTTCGATTTCAATAGTGTGTTTCCGAAGTCCCTTACATTTTCATAATTTTGCGATACAATTTTTTGGAACTCTGTAGCTGTCCTTTAACTCTATTTTTAATGACTTCGTACTTTACTGTACAGCTTTTTGCATTGATGCTGTAACTGGACTACTTTTAGCACGTGGTGGAGCAAGAATGCTCGGAAAACCCATGGTAAAGATTTTCCCTCTTCTTCGCTCACTTTGACTTTTTTGAGCACATCACAGTTTTTATACGATTATCGCAATAATTTTTATTCCAGTTTTTCCTCTCTACTTTTTACCCCGATTCGCTGGATTAGTGCATACATTTTTTTCACCCTTTTGAAGCGTCATTTTAACCATTTATTTTACCAGTGTTGAATTTCTTGCTTTGTTTTGAATTGCGATATCTCTTGGAATGTTTCATTCATATAAAAATTAATAAATCATATGACAAAACCAGGAAGGTGTTTCCTTGAATACGTGTTCCCAGGCACAAACCGGCTGATTGCCCCTGTTATTCATTACGCTGTGCTTCACTTCTGTTCTTTTTTCGGGATCGTCACCAACGAAGCTGATGGATTCCTGCCACTCTAAATCATTTGCATTCCAATGAACGCCTCTGTCCCAACAACCTCGGCTCAGGGCGTCCCAGTATAGGCCTCCTCATTCACGCGAAGCCAAGTTTGGAATCGGGCTAAGACAGAGAGACGGGACATTTATATATATATATATATAAATATACATATACAGGATTTATATTTCCAAGGTCTCGTCAGCGTGGTTGACGTCGTAGCGACATGGCCGACGACAAGGCCGACGTCGGACCCGGACGCGCGGCGCTTCTTCTTCAACGACAGTCCGACGGGGGACGCGCACATCCGGGACGCTTAGCGGTCAAAGGCATGAAGGTCAACCAGTCCGCGTCATCACCCTTCTGCTGGTTCCCAACTCGACTTCCCCTGATTAACATACAGGGTTGCCTCGATCGAACATTCGTTTTATTTTGTTCGTTCTTTTTTTAATTTTATTTGATCGCTGACTTGTATTTATATTCTGATGACATCATTTGAAGCGGGCATTTTTCTTGACAACTCTATGACGGAGCTACGAAGGTTGTCCGAGCTGGACGAGACCTCTGATATCTTCGGAGTACGTGTGATTGTAAATTTGAAATGAAAATCTTGACATAACCCATGATGTTCTGAGGTTCTGGGATTTTCCCACGATTTTTGGAATTTGTTTTTTCAATTTACTGCTTGATTATAAGTGAAAACTTTCCAGTCACAGCAGTCGGAGTTCTCCACCCTTGTCACAGGGTGCTAAGAGTATATCAAGCTGGCTAAAGGTCTAATTTTTCTTGTTTTTAACCATTATTTAAAAATTAGAAAAAGATAATGGGTAAAAAAATACAACAAAATTAATTTTCTCAGCTGGCCTGACAAATTGTTAGCCCCCAGCATGTGACATGGATGGAGAATTCTGGCTGTCGCTGGAAAGTTTTCACTCATATTCATGCAGTAAATTGAAAATGTTTTTAAAAATCCTGAAAAAATCCAAGAACCTTAGTACAGCACAGATCATGTCATGATATTTTTTTTAAATTGACAATCACACTTACTCTAAAAATATCGGAGGTCACGTCCAACGGAGAAACCTTCGCATTGGCTGGACCAGTTGTACACTGGTATCTGTTAGGCCGTACGCGAAATTTTCCCAGCATACAGTTGAGATATCCTAGGAGTGGTAAATCGGTACAGGATGCGGATGTCAATATCGCAGTACTGTGCTCGGGAAAATACGAACAACATTAGGGAAAATTGACGATCTAAGTATCCAAAGACCCCAGCAATTAGATATCTGAAAGTACACATGACGCTGGGTATAAATAAATCAAACGACATCTATTGCATCTTTAATTTGAGTTCAAGTAACCGCAAATTGTACAATGAAAGATATTTATCGAAAATATTGTATTCTGGCGAATATAAGCTCACCTCAAATGTAATCTCCCCCTAGATTATTCATGGACAACATTAAAACAGCTTTAATAAGCGAATATAAGCACTCCGTAATTTATTTCGGAGTTCTGATTTTCCATGAAGCTAAACGTTATCCCTAAATTCAAGTTTTCCTCAATGGTATGAAGACAAGATGGATTAAGGTCATATGTACCATACACAACATTACTCGTCCGCATACATCAATTTGATGTCGTATTACTTGAATAATGGCTGAAAAATATTAACCGTTAGGTATTACAGTATTTCTAAAGACAAAGTATTCCCATTTATTTTGATAGCTCCCGTGACTTTGAAATTAGAAAAGGGGGTGCTTATATTCGAGCAAATACTGTACTGCACTACTATGTCTTGAAAGGTTAACATGAAAAAAATTAAGCCATTTTGCATGATGTAGGAAACCCGAGGACTGTATTCGCACCCAATGGAGGTGAGGGATGGCTTACAGATTTGTTCTCCACTGGAATTTATTGAGATTAGTTCTGGTTGCATAAGTTTCTCAACGAGAATCCTGAAGACCATAATTGTGAGATGAATGGTAAAAACGATTTCATTTAACCCCTCATTTCATTATTGATATTGACCAACCTCATGGTTTTCGATAAACTTGGAGTCATTAAAAAGCGCATTTTGATTGTATCCTATGCAGGTAGAGCATTTATGTTGGTCTGTGAAGCGCATTGATGAAAAAAGCTAGTCAAACGAGATTCAAGACCATTATTACAACGATTATGACCTTGAAATTAATCTCTTATGAGTGACCACATTCTTTTGCGTCAACATGTGCTCCGTGAGTAACTTCGAAACATATCCCGCGTATATGTTTCGAGGTTTCAATTTTTGTCGGCGTTAAATTTGATTTGTAAATCATCGCAGCATACATTTCAACTACAGTATTCACGTGTAATCACCGTAATTTCTCAACAACAACAACAGAAAAAACCCATGTTTTTTATTTATTCGTCCTTTTGAAAAAAAACCGTAAATTATTACAACTTACAAGGGTAGATCTTATAACAGTAGCAAATTAACAAAAATTTATGGAGAGAGAGAAGCGAATTAATTTGGCAAGTACTCTCGCACAAAGTCGAGAAGAGACACTTTCTTTCACTGAATTCCAATGAATTGATCAAAGTTTTTTTTTCGGCACAGAGCTTTTTTAGCATTTTGAAAAAATGCGCAAGGGGTTATTCAATACCAAGGTCTTATTTTTTGGGAAGATTACAATGAAGCCAAGCAGAAAAATATATATGAGCAGAAGTTCGGGCAAGAGAAAAGTCTAAAATCTACGAATGAACTACAGTAATACTGTCATCGTGCATTGGAATACATTGGAGCATTGAAAAAATTAAACTTCGCTCATCATGATAACATTGAAGATGTTTTTTTTTTAATTGAAAAATCATTTTGGAATTCACGCAAGTAGCAGGTAAAAACGTAACTTAATTATCCCCTGCTCATTGACGACAAGTTTCTTTCTTCCTCGCGTCTGTGACCTCCAAGAAATCATTTGTACCCAGACCATCAAGTGAAACAACGTAAAAAGCGTCATCATCAGTTCATTTCCCGAATTCCTCACGACCTAATTAATGCAACACGCATATGCACGGCATCTCGTCCTCGTCGTTTAGCATCGCGGAAACGATTAACCAGTGTTCTATTTTCGGCTCCGAAAACAAAGGAACAAAAGCCGTCAATGAATCAGAGGACGACGAAGAAGAAGAAAAACGCCACCCTGCAGCAATTCCGAAGAATTGGAACCCCACTTTCTATTTAGATTATTTATTTTTATTTTTTGGTTCAAGCTCTTGAAGCCCTTCGTGACACAATTTCTGCGGGGGATGATTCAAGATGAATAAATGACTCACTGAACGGTTTCACGTCGGCTGAAGCATGTTCGTCATCGTCGTCGTCGACATGCTCAGCTTTGATCTGGAGCTGCGGCGCCAAGAGTCGCTGTCGATGCCTTCGACGGTTCTGGAAACAACTGGGCACCTAGTAGCAGAATAAATGTAAATAAAAAACCCAGAATTAAACTAAGAAAACCACATTATGAAGAAGATTTTTTTTTTTGCCTCGGGCTTCAAGGGACAAAGGCATTTAAAATGGATCCAACGTTTCTCATGAATCATGAAATGGAGTTCTCCACAAAATTACGAGTTTGAGTCATCCTGAAAGTTGGACGATTCAAACAGCAAAAATTCAAACCAACCTTTTATGATATGCTGAGGATTTTCTAGAAAGGCAGAACTGATTTCGAGTTACACAAATTGACTTTTTAAAGTAAATTTTGCATGCCGCATTACTCACTCATTCGCATCGGAATTTATAAGATCGATAAAATTTCGAACTCGAACATGATTGTCAAATCTGCGACACTTGGAAAAGGTTTCAAGTACAGTACTTACCATATTTTTGAATTTATTAAATTTCGATAAAATGCATGAAATTTGCAAGTTTATCCAGCAGATACAAGTCATTTCGTCATACTTATCAAGCGTTCTTTCAACTCTCCGTTTTCTCTCCTTTTCAAGACGTGAGTGATACAAATTACATCATTGGTCCGGCAACGATCAATCATTACTCCGTGAAAAATGCATTCATCATCATCCATTTTAGAGTACCGTACACCAAAGAGGGTAAACGTATGAAGTTACCACTGCAAAAGCACTTGAAAGAATTGATTCGTAAGACAGTCAGCATAAAACAGCATTTATGTGAAGCAGATCCTCGGCTTCAGCCAATGATGCAGTTTTCCCCCGTTACTTTAAAAGCTTTTCTAAGCCAGATATCCTTGAAAGAAAGTTCAAGAAAATTTTCAAAATAAACAACTTTTAGCCACTCAAGTTTATATCGTACTTAAATGATACTTCAATTTTTCTTCTCGTATTCTTTCCTTGTGATTAAGGCGCACTCTTCTGAAATCCTTGACATTTTAGGACATGTTCGAGTGTCCAACAACGTTTAATTCCAGGTATGAATATACAAACATATAGCATTTTTTTCGCAAAGAATTTATCACTATATTTTCGCAAAGAATTCAAGGACCTGAAGAAAAAAAACTTTTAAAGCCGAATTTCTGTCCATTTGCCTCTTTTGCAAGTACCTGTCTAAGAAACTCGATCCGTAACAGTAAAAAGCGTGCATAAAATTCTGACTCGGATACCCACGAAGAATAAAATCCACTAGAAGAAGAGGAAGAAGAAGAAAAAAAAACTTGTCCAGGAAATCGTTTCGTAGATAAGGGGGAATAAAATCCCGGCGCAAAAAGGTGGGGTCACAAATCAACATTTCTTCGAGACCGTATACCAGTCCGCATTCTCTCGTATTTTACGATGATGCAGGATTGATATAACTCAATCAAACTTCAGACACAGGACAGGGAAAAGAGAGGAAAGGAAGGAAGGAAAGAGAGCATTTGCCAAGGCTCCACTGAACCGAGAAGCTCATAACCCCGTCGTATGAATACTGTACCTCAGATCACTATCAGTAAACTACTGTACCAAAAAGAATCCCCTGCTCAATAGGGCTTGAAAATGACGCCCAAGAAATATATTATTATATAACCCGCGAGGTAATTTGACCGCATTGGATTAAAATATATAGCCTGCCCCGTTGGACCGAAATTCAAAACATAATTATCAACAGCAATCATACCCACGCAGCACCAGATGAATTGCTTTCATATTTTTGAATCATGAAAAGGAAATATGGAGAGCCTGATCCTCCACAAAAGTTTTCAAGGTGAAGAATTTCAGAACGGAATTCTTTCTTTCCACACAAGAGAATAAATTCAGGCTTGGAAATTCAATGACAGCGACATTCGTAAAAGCTCGAAGTGGTTCATAAAACTAAGTTTTTCGAGGAAAAATTGCAAAAAATCTCGAAAAGCATATTCTCGAAGATCTGTAATCGTTTGCAAAAACTTCAAGCATCAATTCCCAGAAAATGCATATCTGGTCACTGTTTTATGTTGTTTCTTTTTTAGAAAATGATCTTCCAGAACTATTTCCAAGGTGAATAATTTCAAAACGCAATTACATATTTTCACAAAACAGAAGAAAATGAAGCTTGAATCCACTGACAGCAACATTTTTAAAAGCTCGAAGTGGCACATAAAACCAAGTTATTCGAGGGAAAATTGGGAAGCATCTTCAAAAACAGATTCCCGATGATTTTTAATCGTTTTTTTAAAATATCAAGCGCCATTTCCCAGATAATTTAGAGTACAGTATATCTGATCAATGGTGTGTTTTATATATTTCGAGAAACTTCGAAATCCTCATGATTTTTAACACAGCCTCGTCCTAAATGACGTCCCATCAGCACCAGCTTCCTGCTTTCCCTGGGCGAACTCATAATGATCCTTCAATATTTGCAAAGCAGCAGAATCCGGGAAGTGAGCTTCCGAGATGCCAGCCTAGTTTGCACATCAAAATTCCGCCACTGGGACTTGTTTGGTTTGAATTCGTGAATTTTCAAAATGATTTACACACACATACGATTGGCTGCCCAAAAGTTTTAGCAGTATGGTGCTTTCTTCGCTGGACTTCAATTAGATGGAATTCATAGAAAAATTATAGATTAGATACACTTTTGACCCTAATTTTCATCATCCCGGTTGTCCTTGGATGACAGAAGATTCACCTGGCAAACTGTCAGGTTTTCTGAATTTTTAGACGTCTCCAAGCTACTGACAACCTCTTAAACCATCTGACATCCATTTTCAAAAAAACCGGGAGAAAAACTGAACAAAAGACAGCATGAAGATTTCATTTCTTCAATCAGAATATACATTATCTTGAGATTTTACGACTTCAAGACGTAACTGAAGCGTCAGAAAGGATAATAAAATTTGGATCTGCAGCACACGGTTTTTCGTTATTTATACTTTACTTGGTTTTAATTTGAGAAAAAGTGCATCACTGCGTCAGAATTCAATCGAACCAGAAAAGATGAAAGATTGGAACGAATCACGTTCAAGATAATGAAATACAAAATCTAACCTTGCTCCGTTTATAACAATATTTAATCCACAGCGAGAACATATTTTTGTAAGGAACAGACACATGTAAGAAATAGTGTAAGAACATACAGTAGTTGTAAAAATGCAATCAAGCCAAATCGTGTCTTGTTTTTAAACATAATCTTGACGCAGTCTCCAATCAGAAGTTTCCTCGTAATTATAACAGTCGAAAAATAGGGTGCGGTCTAAATTTGCATAAATACAGCACTTCAATATCGCGCTGGATTACAACGAATGCTGTACTGTATAATCGACAAGCACATTGTTCCCCACACCTAATTTCTTCTTCCTTTCTTTTCATTTTAAATTTTCTTGTTGAGTTTTACAAATTTTGAAAAGCTGAAAAAATTGAACGAACCTGAATAGTTACTGGATGCTCCCTGCTGATGACCAGCGCGTCGGCAGCGGCCACCATCGACACTTCTGCACTCGCCCCACTCGCATCGTCCATGCTGGACGCTGTCGATCTTCGACGTCGTCACCGACACCGACTCAGTGTCCAGTCCATGTTCTCAAGCAACTCGCTCAAAAGGGAACAGCACACAGAACGGGTGTCGACACCAAGTCCACACGACTCACAGTCACAATTAAAGCGACCGATTTCGCATTCGTGGCGGACGGATGAAATAACGAACGAAACGAAATTTCGCTTTTGTCCCGAAATAAATAATAATAAAATAAAACTAGGGGAATTAAAAACGGGGGAAACCGAGTAAAGCTACTTGTCGCTGTGCTACATGCTGCAAAATAAAATCGAGAGAAACCATGAGTCACGCGTGCGCAATTCACGGGTTTCTTCCTTGCGCACTTAATTACACGTATCACAGAGCTCAGATTAGAAACCGGTAAGAACAGCGTTCATCTTGGTAACAGATCTTCGCCATCACGTTTTTGAATCGAGGTGGAATTGAATCACTGAATCGTCAATCAACCAATCGCACAGACAATCAATATCGGAGTATTTTTTCGAAAATTATGCTCCGCAAAAAATTAAAAACAAAAAACTCAGGGCGTGTCTTCGAACTTTCATGATGAACTAGATTTATTCGAGAATAGCTGGTTCATCGACTCGTCCAACATTTACACGCGATTAAATTTTATTATTTCATCAGCTAAAAGATTCAGGATTAGTCCATAGCATGATCTGAATAAAGTCAAGAAAACCGACAGAAAAAATTGGAGAGCCCATCACAATTTTGTTCTCCAATCGCGGCAGGGTTTTTTTTTTTGTGACATCGTAGTCGTTTTTTTCATTCAAGCTAAAGATCATTGAAAGATACAGTATTTATAGCGAGCCTATGGTTGAGAGAATTCCTCCTTTATGAATATTTTTTCAGTAGCTGTCAATCAAAATTTGGCACGATTTCCGTTTGTCCAGTCTGTGCAATGGAGTTTCTGGGAAATTTTGAGACACGTGACAAATGTCCAGATTTAAAAACAAATTTTCGCTTATTTCGGCCCCGTTCCGTGATTTTTCAAGAGTTGAAAAATCACGGAATAGCTTAGTATCGACGGCATCTTACATTCGAGAGAATACTGTCAGAATAATCAATACATATTTCGAAGTACCCCTTAAAAAATTTCGCATTCCAATTAATTGTACTGTATTGTACTTCATCAACTGACATTCCACATGAACTTCCATCGTGAAGCAAATGCTGTATCGATTTAAAAATCGACAGCACTTCCCACCCTCAAGTTTCTGCGGCGCGGGCGAAAAAAAATGGCACACCGAGTCCTTGGCGATATGACGATCAACTTTCACACCCGACACGAGATTTTCTTCAAGTTGGCACACGGACGACTTCTTTGTCACAGAGAAATCCCGCGATTTCTGATCCGATTACGACGACAGTTGAACATTTGGTCAGCCGATTCAGCAAAATGTTCTCAGATTCTCGAATTTGTTTTTCTTCAAATCAAACACCTCCAAGACTGGATCAAGATTTCACCGCTCCATCAACCAATCAATGAAGAATTTAACGATGTCAAGAAAACTTTTGAATGTTCACATCACTTGAAAAAATGTGAGTCACTTAAACTTAATCGCCATGTTAAGTGCGCTTGTTCCAGTGCGGAAGATTTTGTTAGTATAAAAAACTTTTAAAATGTCATTAATTTTTAAAATGGTAACACTGAGTGAGGAACTTCAAATCTAAGTAAGATATAATTCATTGAAGGCAGCACTAATGTAAACATTCTTTCCCAGTCAATTATTTCGAAAATCTCACTTCAACGAAAGATTCAGCCAAACAAACGTTTTCTCAAGTCCCCAAAAGTTTGTTGAAATGAGATTTTACTCTACAGTAGTTCAATTCCGGAATCTCCGAAAAAAAACTGTCAAGATTTGAATTTTTTTCAATTTATAAAATACTCAGCACTCGACGGCCAGAAAATCAACGTGCTTACATCTCCTGAACTCGAATGTTAGTCTGCTGCTCTGAAATCTACCGCCCAAGATTTTCTTCACACCAATCCCACGAAGCACCAAAAAAAAAAACGGATCTCTTCTAACCACACGAAACCCGTCGGGGAACCTGATGAAGCACCCTTGAAGCCGAAAAAAAAGACGGACACCGACACACATACACACGAGCCAGCGTGATGCTCCAAGCAAGCCGAGCCTTGGACACTGACTGCTGGCGGACGGACGGACGGACGAGACTCGAGGAATGAGAGAAAAGGGTGGTTCGAGAAAGATGGAAGCAAAAGAGAAGGAGAAGACGAAGAAGAAGAAGCAAGAACAAGCACAGGGCATTCGCGCGTCAGTCGTTGTGATAATGATGATGATGACTCCGCGCCGCCGCAGCGCACGCAAAGAAGTCGGAGCGACGGACGCCGCCGGGCAACCCCGAGGCTTGGCTGGCCCAGACTCCGCGGCGCCCTTCCAAGTCTCTTTCTCCCCCGGGACGGACGCTTTACCCGAAAGGGTTCCTCGCAAAATGCGGCATCTTCTAGATGGGGGAAAAGGGGCTCAAAAACCCGCACACGAAAACGGTCGACTTCTCAGACAAACTACAGTACAACATTTGACCTTTCCCAGATAAATCAACGACACAAATTTTCATGCTTTTATTAATGAAAAAAGACGCACCTTCTACTTCATTCAGCCTCAAAACATGTGACTTTTCCTGGATAATCGAACGCACAAATTTGCCACATTTTTTATTTTTAAAGACGCACCTCTTCCACTTCATTGATCCTAAAAAAAGCCATTTTTCCTGGATAATCGAATGCACAAATCTACCATGCATACATATATTTTTTTTATGCATCTGCTATTTCATTCAGCCTAAAAATTGTGACTTTTCCTGGTTAATCGAATGCACAAAGTCAGCAAATTTTGACTTTTAAAAGCACACCTTATGGACTAAAAACTTCAAAAGTATTGTACTGTAATTATGAGAAGCCCTCTTATTACATACAACTTTTTAAGAATCAGATGAGTCATTTGATACTACTGAACTCATGCTTCAGTGGTTTAAACTTTCATCGTAGAATATCTGCGTTTCTATTCATGCGCTCAACTCAATGCTAAAAACAATAGCAATAATTTGAACGAAAGTCTAAGCATATTTTTCTCGAAAATATTTCGTGTCAGAATCAATTCAATAAAATGTTGAATATGGTCAAGATTTTTAAAAACCGTCTGTGAAGAAAAAAGTGTCCCGAGTAGTAATCCTACATTGAACCGAATATTTCATTAAAGAAGATTTTCGCACATTTTGAAATTTCAAAATTCACGTCAAACTGAATTTTTCTCACTAGGTTATAGGCAGCGCTTTTCCCACACAAAAATTTTCAAAAATGCCGGTTCGGCCTGTACCGTACTATAAATAAATCGCGTGTAGGCCAAAAAACTGATCAACAACTCAAGGAATGCGGCCTATAAAAATAATGTCCGAGATTAGCGTTTGTATGTTCATGTTCGATGGTAGAAGTACTTCATTTGAACTTGAATTATTATTTAATCAAGCTTTGTTTGGCTGTCGACATCCTGTTTCATCTTTCACAAGTGCACAATTTTTCATGGTTTGCAGGATTTCGAAAACAAATGGACTAATGGCTATTCCTTAATGAAGCTGTCTCTGCAGTACAGTACTGTACAGTACTTCTGCATTCATGCATCATCCGTCAACCCAGTACACTGTTGTCCGTTATTAAATAAACAACTTCTGATCGAATATATATAAAAGAATATATTTTATTCACAACCAAATTTGTTCAAGACAAATATAACAAAAACAGACAAGTCTTTAAGAGAATCTTGTTAAACGTACACAAGG